GCAGCAGTGCTGGGAATCCAACCTTAGATTCTCTTGATTACACAGCAGGCTCTTAAGCCACCATCTCCTCTAAGTGTCAGTAACTCCTGTTGGTAACTCCCCTAAGTGTCAGTAACTCCTGTTGGTAACTCCTCTAAGTGTTTCTATCATCAGATAATGACTGAGCCTATTAGGGAGATGAGAGAAAGCCCCTTCCCTTCCCCGCCACCTCCCCATCCCACACACGTCTCGGTGGCCTCTGCGTGTAGTACCTGCGGACTTCCCCCAAGGCTTATACTGACAGAAATAGGTAAATACATATGTTTTTTACAAATCAAATATTTCTGCTCTGACACATCCTTTGTTTCTTCCTAACAACATACCATATGCATCACTTCAAAGTCCACTCTCATAAAATATCCGTCTCATTGACTAAGGACTGTTTCCTAATGGGGACATGTAATAATTAACACAACCTACCGATGAGTATTTGGCTTGCTTAAAATGGTTTTCTATTATAAATCTTGCTACAATAGATGTATGTATATTTGCAGATTTGCGTTATTTCAATCTCTCAAAAGTGGTACTACTGGGTCAAAAAGTAGATACATTGGAAATTCTAGAAGAGTCTGCCAAATCAGCTTGTTCTAAAGTGTGTTGATCTAAACCCAAATTAACAGTGGATGAGCACTCATGTCCATGAATCCTTGTGAGAAGTGGATGCTATTGATTTGTAAGCTTTTGTGTTTCCCTGACAACAGCGAACTTGAACATCTTTCTGTGTGTACTAACTATTTGCCTTCTCCATGGAATTCTTTATTTATATTCCTCATCTATTTTTCTTTTCATATGTTCAAGTTGGGCACTCCTTGCTCACTAAGTATGGACATTTATCCAGAGAAAGAGAGAGAGAGGGAGGGAGGGAGGGAGAGAGAGAGGGAGAGAGGGAGGGAGGGAGAGAGAGAGGAAGGGAGAGAGAGAGAGAGAGGGTGGGAGTCAGGGTCAGAAGGTGGTGGGTACCAGGGGTCTCTGCTTGATGAGAAACACTAACCCTCCATCCCCTGAAATCGGGTAATATTTCACCCAAGGCTGGCATTTTTCCTGTAACTCATCTGCCCTGACCGTCATGCGGGAGTGAGAAATGTCCCGGCGTTCGAATCTGCTTGTGAGTTTCCCGTCTTGCTTAAGCAGCCTCCTCATCCTCACATTGTGCAACTAGCTTCCTGGGTTTTCTTACAATATTTTAATGCCTTCGTTTATTTGTTTGCGTATCTTTAGCACACAGGAGTTTGTGTTTGGGACTACATGAAGGATTTGAGTTGCCCACATACTCATAGCTTTATTGCGAGAGTTTCCTTTCTCTCTCTCAGCGCGCTGGAGAGAAGCTTTCTTCACTGATTTTTGTTGTTTGAAGATTTCACACATACACATAGTGCTTTGTTTTATCCCCCACACCCTCTCCTTCTCTTCCTCCATCCCTGTTAAGTTCCTGCTCTTCTTCCAGCCCCTTCCTGTTAGAAGAGCCTCAGAACTCCATGCAGACACCAGGGGGGCCACTGAGGCACCCCACTGGTCCCCCAGTGCCAGTTTCCCTTAAGAAAATGTTCCCCAGTTTTGGTGATGTTTTCTACCTCAAAACCTGGAGACCACAGGGACCAGATTTGTTGCCCTTTTCCTGACCAGCCCCCAGATTCATGACCTCTGGTTTTGTTTGGTCATCCACTGTATCGGAACCATCCAATAGGGCCTGGTGGTGTCCCCTGTGGCTACCCACTGAAGGCAGCCATCTTCCTTCTCCCCGAATCTGTCAGTAGCAAGAGCCCCACAGTGAGAGGGGGACCTCCTGCACAGCCTCCTCCACCCACTCCAGTCTGTTGATAGGTTCATCGTCTCACAAGGCCAGGCCTGCAGCTGCTAGGAGCATGTGATTGTACATGCTGCATCTTGTCTTGAAGGTGACACTTTGCAGCCCTTCTGGAAGATTCTTTTTCCTTAATTTTCACTTTTTAGTTAAAAAAAAAGGCAGACTATGATCTCATTAATGCACTCATTTATATGAGTGATATGACAGCTTGTTAATGGTGGTTATTAATATAAGTGGTAACTGGTTGTTTATGATGGCATTGCAGATATTTTCTAGCTTTTCTCTTTTCATTTGCATTTTGTGTTGTTCCACATAAGCTACCTTTACCTGTATGCTGAAAGATAAAGATATCTAGAGAAAGGTGTCATGTGAGAGCTTTTATGCCCAGGACCTCTTGTTGGTCTAGGCTGCCTCGTGATTCTCCGGGACAGCCCTGGGCAGCTCAGTGCTCTCTGTTCTCAAACACTGGGCTTGATACACAGCAGAAGAGCATGCTCAATTGGTTCCATTTCTCTTAAACCACACAGGTTCACAAAGATGTAATGACAGCAGATAAACTCACTGAACTTAGGTGTTTAGTCTGGCCACAAATCTTATTTCCTGATCCGCCCCCCGCTCCTCCCATAGTGGATGAACCACACGTGTCGGGAGGAAATTCACCTTCTGAAAACATGAGTAAAGGTCAAACAAGTTTGCACGTTGTGCCAACTGGTGAATGAGTGTGCTTTTAGACCATCCTGCCTGTTTGCAAATACAGTTTGGACAAATATGATTGCCTATGGCTGCCGCAGTGGGTTGGCTTGGATTGCGCTTATATCCTTTGAGTAACTTCTCTGTCTCCGACTTTTTACATGATAACTGGGCCACATTTGATATGCAGTCAACTGACATAGAGTGACTTTTCTGTCTCTGACTTTTTACATGATCCCTGGACCCAACTAACATAGCTGTGGCCAGAGCACTGTGGAAGGGACTAGCTCTTTCTCTGACTAGGGTTTGGAGAGTGTTCCCTTTAAATACTCAGACTTTGAAAACTGGAACTATTTGAAGATAATTTGTTTCCTGAAACTGCATTCTGTAAAGCGTTGCCTTGTTAAACTCTACAGGGCCACCATTTGAAATGTCCCAAGAACCCTTATAGCAGTCATTCTACTAGAATGACCCAAGTGACTGACCAACATGGGCAAACCTGCTTGTCCCAGGAGTTCCTGGCCCTGTAGCATTTAAGGTTCTGTCTTCTCTACAGTGTGTTTTCTTCAACTTTGCCTTTTAACATTTCTATCAATTATCAGCATGTTTATCTCTATCAGCCAAACTCATGGTAACTGGTCACATGTCCCCCATGATTGGAAGCCTGAAAACCAACACTGTTGTCAGTATGTAAACAAGGAAAGTATGGCCTCCAGGAGTCAACATAATGGCACTTAGACTGAGGTGACGGGTCACCTCTCTCACTCATTCGCAGCTCTTGGGGGGGGGTTCCACACTGATGACATATTGCAACTTTATAGCTGAAAGACTGGATGCCAGTGAGATGTCTGGGTAAGAACACAAGGCACGGGAGTGATCGATAAAGCCCCAAATCACCGGTGTCTTCCTCAGTACCGTGCTTGGTTGGGGAGTCCCACCTGGCGTTTTTTTCCCAGTGTTGTGGGCCAGATGTAGAACCTGTCTCTGCTGTGTTTACCTCCCAAGCACTGGTTTGCTGCAGCTGGGACCTGCAGGGAACTGTTCAAGCTTATCCTCTCCAGATAGAGATGTGCTGAGCGAGGGCTGTACAACCCAAACCCAGATGGCAATCAGCGGCAGAACACCTAGTCCCAAACAGACACACATATATATACACAGACACATATACACACACACAAATACACACACAGAGACACATACAGAGACATATACACATACATACATACAAATACATACACACACAGAGACACACACAGAAACACATACAGAGACATATACACATACAGAGACACATACATACACATACACACGCACAGACACCTACACAGACACACACACACACACATGCACAGGCACACACATCCCATACAACCTAAGCCAGCTGCTTCGCCCTGACAAACGCTGTCTCCAAAAGGCTGTGAGCTGGCCCCAGACAAGCTGCTGGAGCAGGAGAGACCCCCGGGAGTGTGTCTGCTGAGACGTCTGTGTGCCTGGGCTGCCCGTCTCCAGCCCCTCATGCCTCACCTTCGTATCCCTCGTGCAGAGAGATGGCCGGCTGAGGGGCAGAGAGGAAAGTGGCCACAGGGCAATGGAATGAGCCGGCAACACCCAACCGTCTTAGGCTGCTGTAGAGTTTTGTGTTTAAATTCCTAAACTATTTCATGCAGGGAACAAACACCCACTGGGATTTATTTCTTTATTTTTTAAACAAAAGGCTCTACCCTGCTCCAGCTGCCGTGGCCCTGAGCTGCTGCTAACCACTGGCTCCTCGTGTCCAAACTCTCTCACAAGATCATGAGAGATTAGCCATGGCTTTCCCCCCAGCTAGTCACCCTCCCTGCTCTCACCCTCCCCTGGCTTTGATCTGTCCCCTTCTGATGCACGTATCACTCCTAACCACACACGATACTTATTTTTGTGGGTCGTATCTTTCCTGCTGGTCTAACTGTGTGTTCCTTAAGGGCAGGGCTTCTGCTTATCTTCGTACCCGGAAGCCTTAATATGGCGTACATTGTGGGATGCTCGGGGAAGTTATTTGAAAGTGAACTGGGAACATAGCCGCAGGGTCGTTTGCCCTTAGAAGATGCAGCCAGGCAACCAAATTCTCCATTGCAGGAAGAACACATCTACTCTAGCCTGCCCAGAGGACAGTGCAGACAGAGAACTCCGTGTCGTGTGCCTCAGTTACTCCAGAAAGCCATGACTGGACAATGGGTAATCAGTATGGTTACCCCTTTGTTATTTGCTGATTTGGCCAGGATAAGCTATTTTTCTGAAGTCAGGTAGAAAGTGGGGGAGCCGGGATTTAAATGAGTCTCTCTCTGACACAGAAGCCCATTTTTTTTCTCCCATGAAGGAGCCCATAGCCCCACACTCAAAGGTTCAGCTGCTTTGCTGTTTTCCCAGAAAAGGGCTCTGGCTGGCCAGGCCTGGGAGGGTCGAGGCACCACACAGGCAGCAGCTGGCCACTCCCAGCTCTGTGGCTGGAGAAGCTGTTTATGAACTCTGCGTGTCGGAACCCTGGCAGCCCAGCTGCCCCAGCTGGGACTTTTCACAGACGACCCAGTGGGCAGGTAACCGAACATCACACAGAGCCTCTGTCTGCAGGGCATGGTGCTCTCCAGTGAAGGGTTTGTGTTGGCCATGCTGCTAGGGGCGGGAGGAAGTGGCGGCCACCAGCCTTCTCTGCTTCAAGAGATCAGAGGGGAGGAGTGGAGAGCTTGGGCCAAGCAAAGCCCAAGTGGAAACATGGAAGGAAAATGGTCTGGGCTGTGTTCAGGGCAAGGGATAAGGAATTCCTTGAGGGCTTGCGCTGGACTTTGTGTCACCAGAAGACAGCAGAGAACTCAGTGTCGAGAGATGGCTGAGATCCTAGCGCTGCCTGTTACTGCTTGGGTGGGGATAGGCAAATGTTCCACCTCCTAGCCTCGGTTCCTTTATCTGTTGTAAAAAGTGACTAACAGCAGCGTTCTTCTGGGTTCAGTGAGGACACAGAGACACTCTGTAGTGTGCTGGGCATTCAGTAATCAGTAAGTGGCAGAGTCCCTATCTGTGCGGTTTTTTGTAAGTGTCCCTGGTCCCTAGATTTATGACCTGATAAAAAGGCCACTGCTGCAGAGAACAGCCACACAATAGTGCCGGTTGACTATGGACTGGAAACAAGGGAAGAAAATCATCATGACCAGGCCCACATTTAGAGGAACTCTGGTCCAGAAGCAGTTGAGTGGAAGGCAATCTGTCCCTAGTTAGGGAACAAACAGCCAACGGAAGAACTGTAGAGCTGTTGCTTCACAAGTGTGTGTGTGTGTGTGTGTGTGTGTGTGAGAGAGAGAGAGAGAGAGAGAGACAGAGACAGAGACAGAGAAAGAGAGAGAGAGTGATGATATATGTACATGTGATGTATATGTGTATGCATATATGTCTGTATAGTGTATATGACTATATGTCATGTGCTGTGTGTATGTATGTGTGTATGTGTGTGTACACATGTGTGTGTAGTGTTATGCCTATAATAAGATTGTAGTGACCTTGGCTTTTTTTTTCTACATTCAATGCTCGATAATGAAGAAAGTGCTTATTATGTAAAATTTTACCTTGGGCATGTGCATTTCTTTCTCTCTTTTTTTTTTTTTTTTTTTTTTTTTTTTTTTTGCATTTCCCTCAGTGGCTCCCAGATGAGAAAAGTGGGTCTTAGTGGGGTCCCTTGTCTACGTTCACCCCATTTCCTGGCAGAGGTGACCATGCACCTAGACCTGACTGACTCCGGCAACACTTCAGGCTCAGCCTCTGGATGAAGGAACGCCCGAATGCAAACAACAGACTGCAGGGTTTGCTCTGCATCTGCTCTTCGGGGACCTTTTCTTGTGGCGAGTCACTAAAGAACCGAGCTCTCTCTCTTCTGGCCTCCAGACCCGCCACTTCCTGTGCAGCTCGTTGCCGCCCTAGTTTTGTTTTTGCCAGCCCTTCCTCTGAAGCAGGCCTCACCCGGGCAGGGCTGGCTCACTGATTGGAAGAAAACTGTCCTCTTGGCTGAGCCACAGCATTCAATTGTGCCTCAGCCCCGGCCGATGGGGCGTGTCAACTTGATCATAATGCCTGGGATCCAGTGTGGCTGGGGGGCCTGGACAACTCCAGCTTCATGCCATTCCTGGGGTGGGGGTGAGAGAGGACAGAGCTCCCCAGTTCCTCTCTTTGCATGTTCACAGCATGAGAAGGCTTCGGTGGCAAGCCCTCGGGCTGCTTGACATGTTTTGTTTTGTTTTGTTTTCTGAACAGCTCCCTGCAGGCCCAGCAAATGACAGGGATGCACTGAGCTAAACCAGGAAGCGAAACCCTCAGGACACCCCCAGACAGACTTTTACACAGAAAGTAGAGATTTTATTAGTTTCTTTACTCTTTTACCAAACATTTGTTGGTAAGCACCTACAAACACTGAGGTTTGGTCTCTAAGAAGTCCACAATCCCAGTGGGGGAATCAGTGTACAAACCAAAACTGAGCCCAGAGGTCAGCAGGAGGCTATACGCGCAGGGGATGGGATTGATGGGTCCTCTCCGCTCTGGCTTAGCCGGGAGAAAATTATCTACTCCGAAGGCTCAGTCAGGATTCAAAAGAAGTAAATACAAATAGGAAGCAAGCATCATCATTTACTAGGTGCTACAAAATGTCAGGCCTCCCTCTGAGAACTCCACGAATATTATTTCATTTAATTCTTGTAACCCTAGTGCGAAAGGTCCCGTAGTTATCTCTGTTTTCAGGGGAGGAGACGAGAGCCGGTGGGTGTGAGGTAACTGACTCAAAGTGAATATTTTATTTGTTGAACAAAGTTCATCCAGGAAGCGACCTGTTTAGATTTCATGAGGCTAAGGAGCCAAGAGAAGATAAGATGGGTGTTTTTAAAAGGTTCCTTGTACCAGGCCTTGGTGGTGCACACTTTTAGTCCCAGCCCTTGGGAGGCAGAGGCAGGCAGATCTCTGAATTTGAAGCCAGCCTGGTCTGCAGAGTGAGTTCCAGGACAGCCAGGGATACACAGAGAAACCCTGTCTCAACCCCCGCCCCCACCCCAAAGTTTCTTGTGTGAGGTAGAAGCCGTGCCAAACACAGCCTGCTTGGACATGTGGTCCTCCCCGGATACCAGGTCACACAGACCGCCACGGCTGTGTCGGGGAAGAAGCTCTTCCATGGAACACGTCCTGGCTTGTTGCGGGCCCTGCTCCTGCTAGGCCTGCAGCCTCTGCTTTTAAATAGGTCCTCCCCCTGCTCTCTGCATGCACAAATTTTATACGGCTTCCCTGGTTTAGGATTCAGAAGGAAAATGGAGTCTTAATGTACTACCCGAGGCTACTTCCCTACTGGTTGTGTAAGAGCTGGAGACATTTTACAGGCAGTGCTTAAAAGTATTCCCAGGCCTATAGCATTCCCTGGGAAAGGCACGACCAGGGCTGTCACTGACTCAGATGTCTTTGAAAGAGAGCTAGAGTCAGCATTCTAGCTGAGACAGGAGGGCCTTCTGCAGGGTAACAGTATTTGTGGGAACTGATCCTTTGCAGAAAGTGCACTTGTCTGTTAAGGTCATGTGATCATGCTTGGTGAAACTTGATTTCAAAGCAGTAGTACAGTTTAAAAGAAACCAGCTCCATTAATATCTGCGGCCATGGACCATCTGGTCACCTTCAGGTTTATGGCTTTGAGCACAGGTGTTTACCACCACGAATGAAGCTGATATAGGTTTGCAGTGTTGGTTTCTCCTTTCCAGTGCCTCAGCCCCTGTCTTGTATCTCTAGAGGATTCTTCAGACCTGCTTTTAATATGTGAGTGCTTTGTCTGTGTGTATGTAGGAATGTGTGCCAGCTGTGTGTCTGGTGTCCAAGGAAGTCAGAAGAGGGTGTCAGAACCTTGGGAACTGGGGTTATGGGCGGTTGTGAGCTGCCTTGTGGGTGTTGGGAATCAAACCCTGGTGTTCTTCATAAAGAAGCCATCTTCCCAGACTCTCCAAAGATGTGGTTCTTGACCTTCCTAATTCTTCCTCGTGTTGTGGTGACCCCCAACCACAAAATCATTTCATTGCTACTATATAGTTGTGATTTTGCTACTGTTATGAATTGTAGTGTAAATCTCTGTGTTTCCTGATGGTCTTAGGTCAGTCAATCCCAGAGGGGTCATGACCCACAGGTTACAAACCACTGCTCTAAAGGCTGCTTAGGAGAAAGGTGGCTTACAGACAAATCCTGCCATCAAACCCCCTGGTTGCAAATGTGTGTAAATTGAACAAGGGCTGGCCTGCGCAGACTCTCACACCACCTGCCGAGGGGGAGGTGATTTGGGAGGACTAGAGAGACTCTGGGCTTAAGGATGCACACTGGTCTTCCAAGAGATCTGAGTTTGGACCTTAGCCCCCACGTCAGCAGGCTCGCAACCACCTCTAACTCCAACTCCAGGGGATCCCGTGCTATTTTCTGCCTTTAGGGCACGATACACATGTGCGTGCACACACACGCGAAAACACACAGACACAGGCATCTTTAAAAATAGAAGTATAAAGAAAGGAGCACGCGGATGGAGGCCTCAGGCCGTACGTGCAGGGAGCCTCAGAAGTGGGCCTGGGGACCACACCAGATTGCATTCTCTTGACCCTGTGGTTTCCAGCGTGTGTCCCGTAAGGTAGGACTAGGAAATGTGCACAAAAGAGAGGATCAAGAAAGTTCAACAGCGTTGGGTTACGGAAAGCCACACCGACGTCCCCATCACACTTTTCCTGGAATGAAGCTAAGCAGTCTCCAAAGCCAGCTGCATCCCAGGTATGGTAGGACATCCACAGGGCACATTTCCAGAGGAGTCAGACGATGCTTCCCCTCCGACAACTTCATGGGCTTTTAACAATAAATGCACGGGTGGCGTGCCTGTGCCTTTTGTTTGGGGCACTTCTGGAGATTCAACCTACAGTGCTGGCACATTGACACGGGGAGGTAGCTGCTATACAGAGCTGGAATAACCATTAGGGGGTCCTAAGAGGGCATTTCCACTGTTGTCATAGTCAATTTTTAACACAAGAGATACTTTATTCTGGAGCCAAATGTGACCATGACCGGAGAACACATATTTAGGTTACTGTAAGTACCACATTTTAACATGGTAACAGTTCCATGAAGTCTTTATAGTACCAGAACAAAGGTCATAAATAAAATACTTTTCAAATACGTCAGTAGGTACCTCAGGTAAGCAGGTCATAGGGAAGTAGGGAGGTCACTGCTTCAGGTCTCCCATGGTCTCCGATGACATTTGCAGCTTTGGCTTGGTGGCAAGCAAGGTTTTTTTCGTACATTCCAAAGAGATTTACCTAATAATCACAAGGATGTGAGGTCACACAGAAGGTGGGACAATAGACCGCCATTTCAGGGGCCTGCAACTACAGTCACTGAGACACTGATCAGCTAATCAGCCTTGTGAAGTGCACGCTGTAGGTGCAGCTGCTTCCCTGGGAAAGTCATGCGGTTTGACCTTCAGAGGAAGGGGCAGCATGATGGCACATCCTGGCTTGGAACCAAATGTTACAAAACTGGATTTTTTTTTTGGTGACATGATTCTTTTTGTTATCTTTTGATATATATTATGAAGCAGCTGTGGCACCAAATGCATATTCATCATAAAAACTACATACAGTTTAGGGTCTTTATCCACCCTTTGAAGCCCATCAATAAATCATTGACCTAGATTACTTGTCTTCAGAGAGAACTATCTAAAGTGCCACACAGATACACACACACACAGACACACAGACACACACACACAGACACACACACACAGACACAGACACACACACACAGACACACACAGACACACACACAGACACACACACACACACAGACACACACACAGACACAGACACACAGACACAGACACACACATACAGACACACACACAGACACACACACACACAGACACACACACAGACACACAGACACACAGACACAGACACACACACATACAGACACACACACACACACACACAGACACACACACAGACACACAGACACACACACACAGACACAGACACACACACACACACACACACACACAGACACACACACAGACACACAGACACACACACAGACACAGACACACAGACACAGACACACACATACAGACACACACACAGACACACACACACACACACAGACACACACACAGACACAGACACACAGACACAGACACACACATACAGACACACACACACAGACACAGACACAGACACACAGACACACAGACACAGACACACACACACACACACACACAGACACACAGACACACAGACACAGACACACACACACACACACACACACACAGACACACAGACACACAGACACAGACACACACATACAGACACACACACACAGACACAGACACACACACACACACACACACACACAGACACACACACACACAGACACAGACACACACACACACAGACACACACACACACAGACACACACACAGACACACAGACACACAGACACAGACACACACACACATACAGACACACACACACACACACACACACACACACACGGATATTGTCCCCTCTGCAACTGTTTTTCTTCCCTTTGCAGTCTTAGATCCCAGAGGGTTGCTTGTCGCCTGCCAGGTCTGGAGAACAGCTTTGTCTGTCCTGCCGAAGGACTGCCAGTTATGTGCCTGGCTATGCTCAGTTGCAGAGTCTGGGGTTTCCTGGAGGTATGGTTTAAAAATGCCAGGCCTAGTTTTCCTATTTGCAAATGGTCCTCCTAGATTTGGGGAAAGAGGAAAAAAGCGTGTGTGTGTGTGTGTGTGTGTGTGTGTGTGTGTGTGTGTGTCTGTGTGTCTGTGTGTCTGTGTCTGTGTGTGTTTCTGTTTGTGTGTGTGTCTGTGTGTCTGTGTGTATGAGTGTGTGTGTGTTTGTGTGTGTGTCTGTGTGAGAGTGTGTGAGTGTGAATGTATGTGTGAGTGTGTGTGTCTGTGTGTGTGTCTGTATGTGTGTGTGTCTGTGTGTGTCTGTGTGTGTGTATGTGTGTGTGTCTGTGTGTGTGTGTCTGTGTGTGTGTCTGTTTGTGTGTGTGTGTGTGTGTTGCAAACAGGAGAGGCACAACAAAGGATCACATGGGAAAGGGCATGTGGCATCAGGTAGTGGACTGTCACCCATTCCTTCTGCACTTGTCTGGAGCCAGGCTGCACCCTACCTTTTGGACGCAGTTTCGCTCCGTTCTGTTGTAATCTGGGCTAACTGTCCTCACTGGGCCATCTGCCATGCCCTTCTTCTGCTTTTGATCTTCCAGGGAGTTGACTTCATTCCTGTTAGAAACATTCAGTAACACAGACAAATATCTAGGGGCTGGGGGTGGTTCAGTCAGGGAGGAGCTTGCTTGGCTAGCTTGAGGATCCCAGTTCTATCCGGAGGACCCACACACAAAGTCCGCATGGTGATGGGGGCTGGTCCTCCCAGCGCTGGGGAGTGCAGAGAGGAGGGCACTGAGCCTGCTGGCTGCCCATCTAATTGGTGAGTGCAAAGCCAGGGAAAGACTTTGTCTCAAAGGAGGTGGAAAATATTCTTGAGAATAACGCCTGAGGTTGTTCTCCAGCCTCCATACGTATGTCTACACACATGCAACCACACACACACACACACACACACACAAATATGCATTTTGGTTTTTTTGGTTTCCCCATTCTATTATTTGCCACTAATTTTATTTTTTTCTGTTCAAAATCAATAGAAGTTTGATTAATTCTATTCATTAATCAGTTTTTTAGTACACCACTCTTTCTCTTGAGCCTACCGAGCACCCATTTCCAGCCTTCTCTGCATTTCCCCGCAGAGTTGGGTCTTTTAATGACAACTCCAGGTCATTCATTACTCTTTATTTTCTACAGGAAGAGTTTCTTGCTTCTATCCCAGGCTGTCTTGACATTACTAGCCTCATGTCTGGTATTTGGGAGACAAGCAGAAGTTGTGTGGACCCAGAGATGAGGAGGAGCACTCAAACACTCAACAGAGAGAAGAGAAGCCCAGCCGAGAACCCATGCTCCAGAAGAACGCAAATAAAGCCCCCCCCCCAGATGCCAGGGATGCAGGGATCGTAAGCTCAGGAAAGGGGGTGGGCTCCATGACCAATTCTTGAAAAAGACGGAGTAGCTGGATTTTCACAGGCTTGGAAGTCAGGGCAGGCATAGGTGTAGGACATGTGGTAAAATTTTATTTTATTTTATTTTTTATTTTTAAGGGAAATGTGTTTCTTTTTTCTAGAATTTCGCATCCCTAGTTGAGCTTGTTTCTAACTTGTTAAGGGGGACTTGGTGTTTACCCTATAAAAGACCAGTGTACCACAAAAGCCTCTCAGAGGCTGAAGGGGTGCCATAAAAACTCCCTAGTCACTTCGTACTCCTTGGTCTTTACTGTGGTTAGATGCCATATCTACTTGTGCATGGCATACTTGTGCTATGCTTCTGATCATGCCATGTTCTTCATCCCAGGAATGAGATTCTCGTCTATGAAGCAATTTTACGGCATGCACATCTCTCTATCCTACTCCATCTCACATCTTTATTTCCAGGGCATTTAAATGAAATGGAGGCACTCGCTAGCAGAAGGCGCTGGGGACCGCTATCTGAGGTTCACTTGAAAGACTCAGGACTGAGCTATAGAAAGAATCTAGTCAGCCTGGCTTCCAGACATCTGGAGTCTTCTGCCTGTGTGCTCTCTGCCTGATCTGTGCAGTGAAACCTTATTTTCTCCTCTGGCTTCGATTCTGACTAGTTATGACGGTTGGACAGCTCATTCGATTTCTCTGGATCTGTTTCTCCACTTTCAAAGGAAAGGTTTGAGGTAGGAAATTCCCACATTTGCTTTCAACGTAAAAGTCCCACGATTACTGGCGACCTGCTTGAGCTTCATTTCTCTCGTCTCTGAAGCACAGAGAGCCTTATCCCCATCACTGGGAGGTGGAGAAAGTATACATAAAAGTGCACAGGAAACCCTAAAACAATGCAAACATCAGCTGTCGTCACAGAGATTCTTTTTGTGGCTTCCTCTTCAGGCCGTATTTCAAGTCTTTCACTATTTGCTAAAGGAGACATGGCCTCTTGGGGAAACTCCTGAAATCCTGGCCTCTACAAAAAGGAGACCAAGCCTGGCCAGTGCAGGGGAATGAGGCTGATGCCAATGGCAATCCCATCTGCAAGTTCTTTGCAAGGACTTGGGCTAGATCTGCCCTCACTCCCCAGAAAGATGGCTGCTTCTCGGTTGCACGCAAGGGCTTGAACGGTGCTAAGCGTCAGAGCCCTCGGATCTCAAATGTGGCTTTGCTCAAAGCATGAGCCAGCCCTGCAGAGCTCCACGGCCACCTGCAGAAATTTGGGTGTTTTGCCTTTCACCTGGGTATCCCTTGGTCGTTCACTCATAGAAACCCACTAGCATGACAAGCCTAACGCCAACCATCTCTTTCTTCCTTGCTTGTTTCGGGAATGACTTCATACTGTTGCCCAGGCTGGCCTTGGATGCATGGTGGTCCTCTTGCCTCTCTCTGCTAAGTGTTGGAGTTGCAGGTATGGCCACCACACTTGACTCCTGCCATCACTCTTGTCTTTGGGGTGGAAGGAAATTATATTATCAAAGCCTTGTATTAGAGACAGCGCCTAGATTGAGTGTGAAAATTATTTTACCTACGCCTCACTGAATCCTTTTAGAGATTAGGGGAAAGTTCTGTCATCTCTTGTTTTTCATTCCCAGGACTCCTGTGGTGTTAATCTAAGTCCTTTGCATAGTATCTCAAATGGATTGAGACTCCTTGGTGTTGATAATTCCTTCTTTCACAGTGCAGAATATAGGAGCATTATATTATCTGGGGGAAGAGAAGCTGAGATGCCCAGAGCAATACAGTTAGGAACAAAGTCAATAACTTCAAAGCAAAACTTAGAAACTCTGTTACCCTTCTTCTCACAAACCCCAACAAGCCACACACACCTTCTCTGTGCATCTTAACAGTGCTTAAATCCAAGGGGGACTGGGCCATATAATGCCTATCTGATCACACAGCAGAGTCTGCTATCACTTCTGAGCAGGTGGCTTGTCCTAGGTTATTGTTGGTCTTTTCTTTCCTGGAATGAGTTGTTATGAAAGGAAATGGAAGTTACAGTTCCATCATTCTGGAATGAACCAGAGGAGAGGAAGGGAACCTCATGTCTAGTAGCAAAATTAATGTTGAGCCCACAGGCAAAGGGCTTTAAGTAACAAAAAGTCTACAAGAGTTTATAATATTAGATGAGAATACAAATGGTGGCCAGGAATCCTGGGGAGGACTAGGCTTCAGGTACTAGCTATCCTAAGATAGAAAAATGTCATTTTTTGCCAAGAACACAGAAGGATTAATTAGGTGCTTTTCATAGAATAGGCAGTCAATAAATACTTGTAGATTGATTTGCTAGGCAAGAATTCCTGGCACCTGGTTATTTTCTATTTCTAGTTTATTCTTTAATTATTATTCTTTTAAAACATTTAGCTATAGTGGCACAGATGAGTAGGGGCAGTTGGGCTAGAAACAGCGTTGGTGCCAGTGGCTATCATCTATATCCCAAGATGCTGGTTTTTTTTTTTTCAACATATTCTGGGAGATCTTAAAGCATAAGAGTTCTGTGTCCAACTTCATAGTTGCCAAGCTTCTTGGGCTGCCCACCAAAGTTGCTAAGAGTTAGTAGTAAAGTTTAATCTTATCATGGCTCGTTTGTTCCATGATGTGGCTATGAAACAGTTTCTCCCTTACTGTTTTTTGTTTTTTGTTTTTCAGGATACCTACTGAGGTATTGCAAAATTCACATGCTTCTGAGAATACCTTCTGGCTTTTACTGGTAAAGAAACAGAAGACTTGAGAGGGAAGTAGAGTTGTTATTGATAGCGGGGGACCTGGTTCTAGCCCATCATTCCTGTCTTGGCCAAAATGGTCAACCGCCATACTGAGTTGGGCTTTGGGATTTCAGATGTTGGGGAGAGGCTGAGATGGGGAGCTAAAAGGATGTGAATATGTCAGGCTCTGCTGGCCCCCTTTGCCAGGGCAGATGTGATAACACACATATGTTATTCTCTGTCAGATCCTCTGCTGGGGCAGATTTGCCGACAGACACCGTTTTAGAGGCCTAAGGTGCTTTTTAAAAATGGGGATTATACTGTACCCTTATTTCAGAGGTTTTGGGATATTTGCCCTATAGAGCCAGGCTATACTGTGTGCTAAGCAAGTGAGTGAAGGGGAGAATTTAGCAGGAGTCTGCAGCTGAGCAAGACAGGGTCAAGAACTAACGTCAAGGCAGGGACGGGTAAAAAGAAGCCAACAGTCACAGATTAGGGGCGAGAAAGGAGACAGCTGCAGATAGTTTAAAAAGCCACAAAACTGAGTGGCTAGGAAGCTCTGATTATGAATAATGACCATGACTCATGAGGCTAATTCAGATCTGGCCATGTGAGAAAGTCCTTGACCAAGAGCCGGTGATCACCACCAACGACTGGGATTCTCTGTGAACTCATATAAGGGGTATTTATTGCAGGGCTTAATAAATCTACAAAGCGGCTTCGTAAGCGCACGATACAAACGATGAGTGAGACATAGATCTCGTGTCCAACAAGGCCATGTTCTTAGGGAGACATGCCAGGGCCGGGACTCGGATAAAATAATGCCAGGTAGAACTTCGATCAGTGCCTCCAGAGGTACAACCGGCCAATTCTCAGAGAAACCGGGTTTCAGAAAGTGGATCATATTGGCACGAGACTTGATAAAGACTGGGGGAGGCCAAGAGACATGAGTAGGATGTACCAGGCTTTTCAAGATGACAGGATATAAAGACCCCGCAAGACCCAAGGGAGGATGTGGATCATCAGTGTGCTGTCCAAAAAGTGGGTTCCAGAGAAGGGGTATCCATGGACTCGGAAGGGTGTGGAGACAACCGCCTTAAAGCCTGCAAGTCATGTGGTGGGTTGTAGGATGCCACCCCAGGGAGGCACTGTGTGTGTGTGTGTGTGTGTGTGTGTGTGTGTGTGTGTATGATATCACACGCAACACCAGGAAGGAGACTGGGCAGTGGGCCAAGTTAGGGGCTGGTGGTTGCTACTGAGCGAGGAGGCAGTTTGGTTCTGAAAATGCCAAGCAATCTTTCTGCTATTGCCATTCAGACTCGAGGTAACCATGGCCAGAGAAAGCGGGTCAGTCCTTTCACAGGCGCACAGGGAAGGGAGGGCCTAGGGTACTGCCGTCTCAGGAGACTGCGACCCAGACACAGGGAGGGCTAGATGGGGCCACTGAGACAGCAGCCGGAAGGAAAAACCCACCCAGGGCAGCTCTAGAAAAGCTGCTTCCACACGGAACCTGTAGCAGCCACGGTGGAGAAACCCAGCCTCGAGATCCAGAACGCAAGAACCACGGCGGCCCGGCCGCTGAGCCAAGGGACTGCAGTTTTTTGAAACTCCCTATCCGGGAAACGGGAACGATTTTTTTCCTTTTTCTTTTAATCTCGGAGGGCTTAGGCCTGCGCTGCGGGAAACTTCCAAGCACGCGGACACGCGGGTGGGGAAACGCGCGCGAGCCAGGGCCGGCCGGCAGCGGCAGAGGTCGGCTTTCCTGCACGCGGCCCAGAGGCGGAGGGGCGCTCAGGACACCCACAGCTTAGGGGTTGGCTGAGCCCGGCCGACGAACGCCCCGGGGGGAGAGGACGGGCGAGGCGGGCCAGCAAGCCGCACCCCAGCATCCCCCAACTCCCGGCGCCCGCTCCCCACCCCCGAGCCCGGTGCGCATGCGCCGGCCGTCGGCGCTCCACCCCCAATCCCCCCGCGGCCAGCGCCCCGCCCCAACCCTCCACGTTTCACTTCCCTCCCTGTCCGCCGCGGCGGCAGCCTCGCCGCCGCGATTGGCTGCCGGAGCTCCTCCTCTCGGCCAATCGACGCCACGCAGCCGCCCCCGTGTTACTGGGTAGAACAAAACAAAAACAAACAGAGCGAGAGGGGCCAGAGGCGCTGCGAGGCGGCTGCGGCGGAGGCTGAGCTGCGGCGGGGTCGGGCGGGCTAGGTGGACCGGAGACCCGGGCGGCGGCGGCGGCGGCCGGACGGGGTCAGTACGGTGGGCGCGGCTCGCACGCTCGGGGCCGCCGGCGTCCTCCCTTCCCACCCTCCCTGGCTCCCGGCCGCCCTCGGCCCGCCGAGGCTGCCGCACGTTGGGAGGGGGAAGGGGCGTGGAGGCCTCGGCGCGGCGGGCCCGGGTCTGCAGCCGCCTCGAAGCCATCAGGCCCGGCCGCGCTCGCCCAACGCCCGGGGCTGTGTGTGTGGGGGGCTGGGGGAGCCGCGGGGGCTCGGTCTCCGAGGCCGGACCGGGGCGCTGCGGCGCGGGGCCCGCCCCCTCCTCCTCCTCCGCCGCCGCCGCCCCTTCCCCGGCGGCTGGGCGCGCGGGCGCTCGCGGCCCGGGGGAGCCTCCAGGTGCCCGTCCCGATGCAGTTGGACGTGGGGGACGGGGCGGTAGGAGAGGTGCGTGGGGACGGGCGGAGGTCGGGATCCCGGGCCTGGCCGCCTCGGCCCGCCCTGCCGGGGGCTCGTGGGGAGGGTGGGAGCCGTGCGGGAGAAGCCGCCCGCCCGCCCGCCCGCCCTCCCGCCGCTGCGGGCTCGGGACGCGGACAGCCGGGCCCTGCGCCAACTCCTCCTCGCCGAGTCTCCCGCTCAGGGGCCCTTAAGGAGGAGAACACAAGCTAGAGAAGAAAACAAAGCCGAGAGGGGGGCCCCCTCTCTGTGAACGCGTGCTGCGTCTGCTGCCCGGGTCCGCCCGGGGCTGAAATGTACACAGAGGGGGCCCCCACCCACCCCCGCTCCCCCCAGAGCCTCCGAACTGCAGATGTAGGTCTCCCCACATCTTCCCCCACACCCTCCTGGGCGCTGGCTAGGTCGCCAGCCACTGTAGTCTCCTATGGGCTGTCATCCAAACGCAGCTACTGCTGGCCTGGGTGAGTGGTGGGTGTGAGGCCTGTCTACAGGATGCTGCTTTGAAGACATCCCGGGAGCTCCGCAGTTGGGACATTCCACATGATTTAGGGACTTGAGGGTTTGCGAAAGCCCCTATTCCTTTTTAAAAATCATGTCTTAGCATATATGCCTGTATTGGCATTTGTAGCCATAATGTGCTTGCAACTCTCTCTCTCTCTCTCTCTCTCTCTCTCTCTCTCTCTCTCTCTCTCTCTCTCTCTCTCTCTCTGTCTCTCTCTCTCTCTCTCTGTCTCTCTGTCTCTCTCTCTCTCTCTCTCTTTCTCTCTCTCTCTCTCTCTCTCACACACACACACACACATGGTAGCATCTTTGAATTATCATTGGGTTTGTCTACTGTGGTAATGTTAAGGGAATAATACTTGTTAGGACTGCAACAAATAAATGTACATGGCTATTTTCTGTAACGATGGCTTTTGCATTACTGGGGTAGAGTCCTTTTTAGTAGCTGATTGTGAGTTTCTAAGAGGGTGATTGTATCACAGGGAAGAATTAAGGTAATTTTCTAGTTAACATATGCTCTAAATTTGACTTCCAGAAATGTCAGAGTAATTTATGGGGTATTTAGGAAATGCACTGGAGAACAGTTAATTTCAACCTTAATTTTTCTAACTGTACGCATGCTTTTTTCCTCATTGGAAACAATTTTGTATGGCTTAGTGTGGAGCGAATGGAGTTATCCTTTTTTTTTTTTTTTTTTTTGCTTTGCCTTAAGTTTGAGGTAAGCATTTTAAGGATTGTTAAATTGAAAAAAGGAAAAAAAAAAAGCCTGCCACTCTGAAGACAGTGGGACATCCTGTCCTTTAGAACAGCTGTGCTGCTGTGGCTTGTGACTGGGCTCCTGACTGATCCAGTTGTCATGGTCTGGAGAAGGAACTGGCTGGGTTTTTTTTTATGTTACAATGACTTAATAAAGCAATATGCTATAATTGTTTTTAGTATTTAGTGAAAGGATTCAGGCACTGTGCTGGCCCCGCCCCTGTCACCTGGCAGGGTGCATGCAGGCAGTGCCCTGGTCAGACCAGGGTTCCCTGGCTAAGTAGTCTGCTTGCAGGTGCAAAGGACCCCTTTAAAAGACAGACCCTGTCCACTTACATCCCCCCTGCTCTCCCTCCCTCCCTCCCTCCCTCCCTCCCTCCCTCCCTCCCTCCCTCTCTCTCTCCCTCCCTCTCTCCCTCTCCCTCTCCCTTTCCCTCTCCCTCTCCTTCCCTCCCCTTCCCTCTCCCTCTCCCTTGGGGCAGACAGGGCTTTTCCTGTTTCCCTCTTCCCTTCTGTCCTCTCTCTGTCTCTGTCTCTGTGTCTCTTTACCTCTTTTCCCTTTCCTTCCCCCCTTTCCCTTTCTAATAAAACCTCTCACTAGGCTCTGTCTGCCTGGCACGTTTGTCTCCTGCCTTGGTCAACCTTGCCCGCCATGGAATCTGCCAAGGTCCAGTAGGCTTTATCACAACATTTGGAAAGCAGTATTTAGCAGTTGGTTAACAAGTCTATGGTCTGTGTTGTCATAAACTTTTGTTGTTGTTAACCTGAACCTTGTTGCAGGGCACTGTGAGCTCTGGGCCTGCATTTTACGGTCCGGATTCTGATAGTGGTCCTCCACTGGGCTGCCCTTCCTCCTTGCCGGGCCTCCTTCCCTCCTGAATCTCTTGAATCAGAACGAATGCATGAAGTGCATGAAATAATGCAGGCATAATTCATTTTGAATTACAAAGGGCTGGATAAGCATTTGTTTATAATCTTTTCCCTTTATTAGGTAGGAACTGCAGAAAGCATTTCCTCAAAGATTACATTTTCATAAAGAATGAACTCAGACCCTATCACATATGACAGGTTTCCTATACCATGTGTCCCATGCACTGCAAGGAAGCAGTGTGTGGCATTTTCAGCCGTGGAAAGTACTGATGTTTGCATGAATCTCCACATCCTATCGTAAAGTTAATTTTTTCTAAATCCTGAGTTGTGAAATTAAAGCATTGGGAAGTAATCATTTAGACCCACACATCAGTTAATTCTGAATAGAATTAATTAGAGATGATTTTTACCATGTTGTGTTTCTCAACAAGCAGTACAGTAATATCTTCGTGTAGCCTAACAATAAAGGCTTCGTTTCAGCATAAAGTGTTATTTTTGTTTCACAAGTTAATACCCTTTTTGGAGAAGAAGGATATCAGCTTGAAGGGGTCTTGCATATGGTACCACTGAGTTCTGTCACCTCTCTGCTCCTCCCCTCACAGGCTTTAACCCTGACTGCTCTTGCTTGCGCTTCCGGAATGCTGGGCTGTGGATTTGTCTTACCACGACTGACTTTAATTTGTTACTAAAACAGGTTATTTTTTAAAGAATGAATATTTTAGATTGTAAAACTGATATGCTAAAAATAAATTTCAAATCAATCTCACAATAGAAAAGATTACTTAAAAAATGTCTGCCTGTCTCAGTGCCCCATAAAAAGACATGAAATGTCAGGTGCTTCTGCTTAGTCTGTGGTGGGGAAGATCAGCACATGAAACAGTCTTGATCAGTCAAACTTTTGTTTACATTTTAGAATAAATTGAAGTTATTGTTAGAGAACTATCCCAATACTTGTGTTCCTATATGTGAATGTATGATTAATTTCAAGACTGTATTAAATGTGGGCTGGAGAGATGGAACATGGGCTAAGAGCACATGTTTGTCCAGAGGACCCGAGTTCAGCCCAGCACCCCCATCAGTTACCTCTGGGGAATCCAGTGCCCTCTTCTGGCCTCCACAGCTGTCTGTAAACCTGTGGCTTACACACATGCACACACACACTCACACACATGCACACACAGACACACACACATACAGACACACACATATGCACAGACACACAGACATACACTTACACACAGACAGGTGTGCACAGAGGCACATGGTGGGGGAGACATAAATTGAAAGAAGTGTGTTGTAATTATGCCTTAAGCCCCAAGTTTCAGGACTTCGTTGGCACATGCTGAAATCTGATGTATTTTTAACCTCAGATTTTTCTTTTTTCTCTGTCTCAGAAAAGCTTGTGGAGAAATTTGGAGCTACGTATTAATTAGATTATTTTTGAAAGTAAAGCAAACCTTAAAAAAGGCATTTTTCATATTGTAGTCAAGTAAGTTGAATTTACCTCAACTGTCAGCTTAGAAGATGTTGAAACTTTTCTTTTTTAAAAATAGATTTTAAAGGAAGACTTGTATTTCGTAATTTGTGTATAATCAGTGCAAGCGAAATTAAGGAGAAATGGATGTGGAGAATGAGCAGATCGTGAATGTAAACCCCACTGGTAAGTAGTACCGGCTTTCTAAGCCCTGTCTTGTGAGCACACTTGAAGCTATTCATAGCTTACCTGAAAAACTGACAGTACAACTTTTAATAGACAATGAAAAGATTTTCAAAATGAAAAAAGGTATCAGCTAACTTTGGCTATTTGAATGTAAAAATGGTCAATTAGCATCGCTTACAGTGCAGTTAGCCGGGGCACAGTGCCCATTGACATTATTTTACACAGTAAAGACTTTACTCTTCATTTGAGGCAGTGTGAAAAGCCTTGAGAGAGTTTTCAGGAAGGGCATGCTTTAGAACCAGGCTCTTCAGGTAGAGAATGTTTGAAGACTGAAGATAGAGGGACTGAGGCCAGGGGAATACTTAGTTTTAATACTCCAAGCGCGTTTGTTTTGGATCACAGCACTTCCTATTAACACTGGTGCATTTTTGTTAAGAATTGAACAGGATTAAATACAAATACAGTTTTTAGAGATTGATTTAATGCTTACTTTGTAAACTATCACAAAAGGCATTAAAGTTATATATATTAATTTTGCACATCATAATTATAATTAGGCACCAAATAATTTGGGTGATTGGGCTCTGACTTGAGTTATCCATCTTGAACAAAAGTGCCGTAGTGGTAAATGAACTCAGTAGCCTTTCTGACTTAAAAACCAAAACCAAAACCCAAAACAGTTTGCATAGCAAAGCTGAGGTTGTCACGCAGCTGTCAAAGACAGCTGTCAAAGAGCGTGTGGAGACTGATCTGCTCAGAGCCGCTGGTAGACAATAGTCTAATAGCCCCTTCTTGGAGGCTCTGACAAGAGAGATGAATTAGAAGAGAAGTAAAAACATTGATTTCTGTGATGGGTTAAATGATCATTACCTGAACATTTAGAATCACTGTGGCTTGAGTTTTTAGGGAGATTTTCATGGAAGGATTAAGATTTGGGGTATATTTTGAAGAATTTGGTATCAGATTAGTAATTAAATGATTTTTAAGCAAGGGAACAGTAGCAATTATTTTAGGTACTAATGTGTGTAGGTTGGAAACTTCATAGATGGAAATTTGGAGAAATAAGTTTAGGAGTTGGAGTTGATGATTTTAAGAATATTCCTTATGTTGAAGGCAGTTTCTTAATTTCCTCACTTGTATAAATTGTTGAACTCGTGTCCAGTATAGAGCCTAAAAAGTATAATAGACATTTTATGTAGTTTGACATTGTCTCAAGATTCTTTTGTCTTACTATCTCTATTTTCATAACTCTTTGCTCATGAATCTACAGTTTTATGACCTTCTACTAACTTGTTTTTAATTATTTAAACGTGAGGTTCCTTCTTTTCAGAGAATCATAATTAAAATTCAGTACCTTTGCTTACTTTCCTTGGTAATGGGAAAAAAATCTTATTTGTCCTTTATTAGATTAAGCCATGTGAAATTGCCAATGTATAATTACTACTAACTACAAAGTGTTAATTTCATGGGTAGTAACCAAATTAAATTGTAGTGACATAACAGTGAATGTTGGAATTACTTAGTTTGGTTTGTTCGTTTTTCTTTTAAGATCCTGATAATTTAAGCGACTCTCTATTTTCTGGTGATGAAGAAAATGCTGGCACTGAGGAAATAAAGAATGAAATAAATGGAAATTGGATTTCTGCATCCTCTATTAATGAAGCTAGAATTAATGCTAAGGCAAAAAGACGACTCCGGAAAAACTCATCGCGGGACTCTGGCAGAGGCGACTCAGTCAGTGATAACGGAAGTGAAGCCATTAGAAGTGGAGTAACTGTGCCCACCAGTCCAAAAGGAAGGTTGCTAGATAGGCGTTCCAGATCTGGGAAAGGAAGGGGGCTGCCAAAGAAAGGTTAGTGTGTGCTGTGCAAAGAAACAGTGTGGAAACGCAGGTTCTGCGCTGGGAGTCCTTGTTCTAAAGAGGACAGACGTGCAGACACTTGTAAGGGTTATTGGTTGCTTATGTGTTTGCTGTAGAGCTGAAGGCCCATATCACTTAAGTTTGAGTCTTTTTCTTTGGAATGGGACTTTCTCCCCCCCAACAAAATACAGTAAACATTGATGCTTTCAGTTACAGATTTTATACACAGTATGAAAGTAGTCAGATTAATCATAACGTATCAAATCAATCTGGTTATGGTCCATTGCTAAGAATCGTAACTGTAATACATTTGGTATCCTATTTGTAGATCTGGGTCTGAGTTCTCTTTAGCTTTAGCTTTGCTGTTTGAATGATGGAGTGGATTGATTTATTTCACTGTTGTATTCAGTGCCTAAAATACTGGTAGAAATTAAACAGTCATTGGACGAGGGTCTGTCAGCTTCTGCCTGTAGTAGGATTTCGGTAGAATTTGGAGATTGGACTGCATTTTGAATGATGTGAGCTTCAGTTTATATACTTAAGACCCTGATCATTTAAATGGATCTGGTGATGAACGTGTTTGGAGGTGTGTGTGTGGGGTGAAACATGGAGATTGGGTTTCAGCATCGTCCATTAATGAACCTAGAACTAATGCCGAGACAAAAAGAGGATTATGGAAAACTTTTTCATTAGGGGGAAGAGAGAAAGGTAAATATGTAACTATTCAGATAAACTGTAGTAGTCTTTCAGAAATTATTTTTGTGAATAGTTTCATATTCATTTGGATCAGAACGACAGTTAGTTAACTGATTGTGGTGTGCTGTGTTGGCAAGGATTATATTTGAAAGTGCAGAATGAAAACTCAAACAAAAGGTAGGGGTGCGGTGACAGATGGAAGCAGAAGGGGAGGGTGGATGCCGAGTGAAACGTAAAAGGAGGCAGTGTCATTATGAAGGCTTTAAAGTATTATTGTAGACAGATTTGGCTTTAGAAAAGTGCCTCATTTGATATAGAAAAGCAACTTGGCAAGTTGAAGTTTTTACTCTTTGGTTTGTATACAGAAATAGAAACTGCTGTCAGTGCTGTTGATTGTTAAATTGCAATTCGTTATTTGTTAACATACTGCTAATTTTGAAGTGTAGGTTAATGTGTGCTTTATGTGGAAGAAGTTAGACTTTAAAGCATTTGATGGTGGTCATTATGGTGCTTTTGGAATCATATGTTGAGGTTTTAATGCCATATTTACTGGTCCAACAAGTGTCTCTTCATTTCCTTCTTTTTGGTTCCAAGACATGTCAACATTTAGAGTGTCCTCACAGTGTCACTTTGTCTAAGGTCTGTGGCATGGCTGTTTTTTCAGATTAAAAGATTTTTAAAGAATCTGCCTTTGGCTGGGTGTTGGTGGTGCACACCTTTAATCCCAGCACTTGGGAGGCAGAGGCAGGCAGCTCTGTGAGTTCGAGGCCAGCCTGGTCTACAGAGCAAGTTGCAGGACAGCCTCCAAAACAATACAGAGAAACCCTGTCTTGAAAAACCAAAAAAAAAAAAAAAAAAAAAAAAAAAGAATCTGCCTTTGTAGTTTCTAACTAAGTTATTTCAACTTGATGCTTTTGGAAATAGATAACCTATTGTCTAAAAAGTGATCTAAATAGGAGTTTGAATGATTAGCATAAGAGTTTTTACTTTGAAGTTATTCAGATTCCAGTTAACTGTGAACTGTGGACAACTTGCAGGTGGTGCAGGAGGCAAGGGTGTCTGGGGCACACCTGGACAGGTGTATGATGTGGAGGAGGTGGATGTCAAAGACCCCAACTATGACGATGACCAGGTAGGCGTCAGGTACAAGGGTTCCTGACTTTGCACTCCTAAGATTGTCAAGTGGTGTGTGGTCATATATGAACACTCTGTTGCTGTAAAGGAACATACAATGTGAATAGCAAAGTCATATACACTCAGTACTCGATGATAGCTGAATTAATTTTAGATGAGGAAACTAGTTTATTGATAGTCAGGCGTACATAATTTCTGCTTGGTTTTAGGGGTCAAAAGGAGGTCTTTATTGACTTGGGATTAGTAGTGATGATAAAGAGGTTTCTTGGGTATTGTGGGCGATAGATACTAGGTTCCTTTTCTGTGTCACTATTTAACATGAATAGTAGCATATATGTTGTTCTGGGAACACACCTGCATTTTCTCTCATGATAAATGCTTAGTAAGAAATGTTTTAATGCATAATTGTTAAGTTCTCCTTATCTTTTTAGTGGAAAAATTCTCACTCAACTCAACCCTGAGCTTCACCAGTGTCACCGTAGTAACTCACAGGAAATCTTACTAATTTTCTATCTCCTTTTATCTCCTTCCTCCATACTCTCTTCAGGGAACACTAGGTCTGATGAAAATATCTTTTTAAATTAAAAATACTGATTTTGTTTAAGGTAGAAAATGGTGATGACAAATTAAAACTTGAAAGTATCAAGTCTCTATATTATGTACTTACTGGTTTTAACAGATGGACATGAAAAATTTCTTTTTTTTTTTTTTTTTGGTTTTTACGAGACAGGGTTTCTCTGTATTGTTTTGGAGGCTATCGGTCCACACACACAATGCACAAAGATCCGCCTGCCTCTGCCTCCCGAGTGCTGGGATTAAAGGCGTGCGCCACCACCGCCCGGCTAGACATGAAAAATTTCTAAGAGAATATAAAAATATTTAAAGTCTATGGGATTGAAATATAAATGGAATATGCTAAATGTTAGTCTTTTAAGTATATGTTGCAATACCATCTCAGATTTCAGTTGCAGATAAATGTTTTAGCTTTTCTGTAGAGGAGACACATTTGTGATAGTCATTTAATCTTTATTATTAGGCATTTAATCTTCTGGAAATTTCACTTGAACTATTCTTAAAATTTTCAATCATTACAAATATTGACTTCTGTTATTTTTACTAGAATAATTATGAAAGTTTGTTTTTGATGATATTGGTACATATTTAAGGAGTAATTAATCTTGTTAAAAGCCAAGTTTTAATGGAAATATACGATAGGGTGCTGTTTTGGATTGAAAAATTGGTTTTGAGAGAGAGAGGAAAGTTAATGGAAGAGCTGACACGGTCTGAGGGTAAAGTGTGTGCTGTGAGCCATGGATCTGGGTTTGGATCTCCAGTGCCCACATAAAAGCTGGACGTGATGGTGCCTGTCTGTAATCTCAGCCTGGGGAGTGGAGGCTGGGATCCCAGGGCTTGCTGGATGGGAGCTCTGGGTTCATTGAGAGACGGTGTCTCAGAATGAGGTGATGGGCAGGGAGATGGCTCAGTAGGGAAACTGGGCACACACTGGGCAGCCTGAATTTAATCCCCAGAGTCTGGTAAACACATAATGGAGTGAATCTGTAATCCGTATGTCAGTGGTGAGATGGGGGTACAGACAGGAGAGTCAGAAACAAGAAGAGTCCTGCTCCTACAAGACCCGATACGTGAAATTGTCCTCTCACCCCCCATGCCCCCCAGAGAGAGGGGGAGGAGAGCGCATGTGAGCGCGCTATACAGGGAGACAACTTGGCATTGACCTCTACCCCCCCCCACACGCATGCATGGCACATACTCTCCCCTCCCCTCAGCCATCCCCCTCTAGTAAGTCAGCAGGAATATGAATTTGGGAGAAAATCATGTACTTGCCACAGTAAGTGGGTTCACTGTCTTTTGGGTTACTGAATTTCATGAGAGCAGTGGTATGCAGATTCTACAGTGTTTAAAACAGGCAGGTGTATACCTCGCCTTACTGTGGTCACTAACTGGGTGGAGGGTGAAATGATAACTTCAGCTTATCTGAATATTTAATTTACAATTCCCCCTTCTACAGGAGAACTGTGTTTATGAGACTGTAGTTTTACCTCTGGATGAGACGGCATTTGAGAAGACTTTAACCCCAATTATACAAGAGTACTTTGAGCACGGAGACACGAATGAAGTTGCGGTAGGTTTAAGTTGCAGGGAGAAAACAGCACTGTTACAAGGAAAATGTGTCTAGAATGATTTTTGGATTACTCTGGATAAGTTTATGTTTTTTGTTTTATAACAACAACAGATTTCTTAACCAAGAAGGGATTGTGTGGGGCATGGTTGTCTGTGCCTAAAATCCCAGTATTGGTGAGGAGAAAGTAGGTAGGACAGCTTGAGGCAGGTCTAGACCACATAGGGCTTCCAAAAAAAAAAAAAAAAAGAAAAAGAAAAAATATTTCTTTTCCTCAAATAAATTTTCTTATGTATTTTTGCACTCTGATGAAACCTACATTCAATTTTCTTGTGGGGAAAATGATATAACCACTATTTATACATTTATAGATTCTGGTTTTATAAGTTAAACATTTTCAGGGAGTTTATAGATTCCATGTGCAAACCTCTTCAGGGGCCTGCCTCAGGATTCCCTGATGGTTCTGGATGAGATGGAAATGTATCTGAACTCTCTCCAAAAACAAAACATTTACAGAGATCTGAAAACGAATGTGTACAGGACCAAGATAGTCAACCTATGTTTTGAATCATAATTTATGTGGAAATATTTAATGTGCTTGTAGTGAATTGTTCATAAAGTAAATTTAGAAGGATAAAATAGAATTACTGGTTTTGCTATTACAGGCCTGAAACATAACAGTATTAATTGAAAGATGTTTGTAGTTCTTAAATACAGGCTTGACTTTCTGTTTATTTGTTACATAGTTTTGGTATCTTTGGATTTATAGCATTTCACTATAAAACAAATATTTGTTTATATCATACTGTTGTGTGACAAAACTTTTCTTGGGGAGACACAACACACACACACACACACACACACACACACACACACATTAACTCACTTCAGATAGGGAACCCATGAAAGCCCAAACTACAGATACCACCAAAGTTCAGTTTGATGAACCAATGAGCTTTACTTATAGGAGTATGGGTGGGGGTTACGTAGAGGATCAGAAATAACTCAAAGACAGCTGCATCATCAGAACCCACTCCAGCATGAGGGACTGCTTGGGACCTGGAATGCACTGCACAGCCTGCAAACAGCTCAGCATATTAGAGAGTGTCCTGTCCAGATGCCTCAGTTGATCTAAACTCCCAGGCCTTTGGTCTGCTCTCAGAGTTTTCTTGGCAACTGGGCTTGCTTGAGTCTTCATTGCAGCTTGTCTCTGCTTACCTCTGGTGAGAAGAGACCTAATGAATGTGGTCAGTTTCAGGAGCCTTCTGAAGCTGCTTCGAGTTGTTTACCTTCCTACTTAAAAAGCTTTCTGTCTTTCTGTAGTGATTCCTGAGCCTTGGGGGTGACAGTAGATGTCCACTGATGGCTGAGAAACAGGCCACCGCATGCCACAGTAACATTCCACCCTAACAGTCATTTGTTCTCAGGAGCTTCACCAGTGGTTAGGAGTTGAGGCTGATTACAATAGTGACCTATGGGTACACACATTTAGAAGACAGTTGGATAGGTGCTCCAGCACCCATCTAGAAAAATCATACAAGTTGCTTCCCCTTTGGGACCTAGGACCTCCCCAGCCATAGTTTTTTGCCCTGGCTTACAGTACCAGCCATGACCTTCCTTTTGTGTCGTAGGCCTTCAATCTAGTTGGGGATTGCTGGGCTTCGCCATGATAGTTGGCGCATGCGGGAACACCCTGCTTAGTTTCTCAGTATTTAGCACTCGGCCTATGGCCAAGCAGGAATGTTAGTGACAGTTCTCCACCAGCAGCCTGCATGGCATCTCCTGGCACTGTGCGAGCCAACCAGTAGGGTGGGAGTTACTCCAGTTCAGCCCCATCTTAATTTTTCCATATCCTATAGTCAAAACTTACATATGTAATGTCTTCAGCAGTAGGGTCTTGCCATCAGCAGTAGCTATAGGTTTTGTTATTTGTTGGGCCTCATGGGCTTCCCTGGTCAACAACTCAAAAGGTTGTAGCCCATCCCTGGCATTGAGATTTTCAGTCAGTGACGTTATGGCTTCTGGAACTGTCCTTTTCTACCCATGTAGGGTGCCATTTGGATTTAAACTTTTTAGCTGTTAGTTCAGATGCTGGGGGATGCTCAGTGGCTTCAAAGGATAGTACTTGTGGGAGCCTGTGTGTGGCATTGGTAATGGGGCCTGTATACACCACACCTCACTGCTGCACCATTGTGAAGTTTGTTCTGTGCCATACCAAACGGGTTTGGCCAGGAGGCTTCAGTCCAACCCTTCATTGGGCAAGCTGTTAAGTCACTGAGATGGAACCAGTAATAGATTCTGCCTGGTGCAGTGTTTTCTGTGTGCTCACAGATGATGTCCTGGTGCAGTGTTTTCTGTGTGCTCACAGATGATGTCATGTTGCAGTGTTTTCTGTGTGCTCACAGATGATGTCCTGGTGGAGTGTTTTCTGTGTCCTCACAGATGATGTCATGTTGCAGTGTTTTCTGTGTGCTCACAGATGATGTCCTTGTGCAGTGTTTTCTGTGTGCTCACAGATGATGTCATGTTGCAGTGTTTTCTGTGTGCTCACAGATGATGTCATGTTGCAGTGTTTTCTGTGTGCTCACAGGTGATGTCATGTTGCAGTGTTTTCTGTGTGCTCACAGGTGATGTCATGTTGCAGTGTTTTCTGTGTGCTCACAGATGATGTCATGTTGCAGTGTTTTCTGTGTGCTCACAGATGATGTCCTGGTGCAGTGTTTTCTGTGTCCTCACAGATGATGTCATGTTGCAGTGTTTTCTGTGTGCTCACAGATGATGTCCTGGTGCAGTGTTTTCTGTGTCCTCACAGGTGATGTCATGTTGCAGTGTTTTCTGTGTGCTCACAGATGATGTCATGTTGCAGTGTTTTCTGTGTGCTCACAGATGATGTCCTGGTGCAGTGTTTTCTGTGTCCTCACAGGTGATGTCATGTTGCAGTGTTTTCTGTGTGCTCACAGATGATGTCCTTGTGCAGTGTTTTCTGTGTGCTCACAGATGATGTCCTGGTGCAGTGTTTTCTGTGTGCTCACAGATGATGTCATGTTGCAGTGTTTTCTGTGTGCTCACAGATGATGTCATGTTGCAGTGTTTTCTGTGTGCTCACAGATGATGTCCTGGTGCAGTGTTTTCTGTGTGCTCACAGATGATGTCATGTTGCAGTGTTTTCTGTGTGCTCACAGATGATGTCATGTTGCAGTGTTTTCTGTGTGCTCACAGATGATGTCCTGGTGCAGTGTTTTCTGTGTCCTCACAGATGATGTCATGTTGCAGTGTTTTCTGTGTGCTCACAGATGATGTCCTGGTGCAGTGTTTTCTGTGTCCTCACAGGTGATGTCATGTTGCAGTGTTTTCTGTGTGCTCACAGATGATGTCCTTGTGCAGTGCTTTCTGTGTGCTCACAGATGATGTCATGTTGCAGTGTTTTCTGTGTGCTCACAGGTGATGTCATGTTGCAGTGTTTTCTGTGTGCTCACAGATGATGTCATGTTGCAGTGTTTTCTGTGTGCTCACAGGTGATGTCATGTTGCAGTGTTTTCTGTGTGCTCACAGGTGATGTCATGTTGCAGTGTTTTCTGTGTGCTCACAGATGATGTCCTTGTGCAGTGTTTTCTGTGTGCTCACAGATGATGTCCTGGTGCAGTGTTTTCTGTGTGCTCACAGGTGATGTCATGTTGCAGTGTTTTCTGTGTGCTCACAGGTGATGTCATGTTGCAGTGTTTTCTGTGTGCTCACAGGTGATGTCATGTTGCAGTGTTTTCTGTGTGCTCACAGGTGATGTCATGTTGCAGTGTTTTCTGTGTGCTCACAGATGATGTCCTTGTGCAGTGTTTTCTGTGTGCTCACAGATGATGTCCTGGTGCAGTGTTTTCTGTGTGCTCACAGGTGATGTCATGTTGCAGTGTTTTCTGTGTGCTCACAGATGATGTCATGTTGCAGTGTTTTCTGTGTGCTCACAGGTGATGTCATGTTGCAGTGTTTTCTGTGTGCTCACAGGTGATGTCATGTTGCAGTGTTTTCTGTGTGCTCACAGGTGATGTCATGTTGCAGTGTTTTCTGTGTGCTCACAGGTGATGTCATGTTGCAGTGTTTTCTGTGTGCTCACAGATGATGTCATGTTGCAGTGTTTTCTGTGTGCTCACAGATGATGTCCTGGTGCTGTGCATTGAGCTCCTGCTCCTTCCCATGACTGAGACCAAAACCTTATTTTTGCCATAGCCCTTAGCTATAGCCTTTTGAACTTCTGGTGGCTTCTAACAGGAAGGGACACTAGGTTAGTGGGACACATAGCTGTTGAACCTGTCCTACAAAGATCTTAGCCCTCTCAATAGCCACTTGAGCCTTTCTGTGCCATTCCCATATAACTCTTTTCATTATCAAGTAATGGGAAAGATGGCACAAAAAGCCTACTACTATCCCAAGAGCCTCCCGGTGCCTGAGCTCCTTTACATTTACAGGTAGTCTGTTGTAGGAGTTTGACAATAGCATTGTCAGGTTTCATATGTGCCTTACCCGAGTAGACCATAATACTCCCAAAAATTTTATAGCTGTGCCTGGTCCTTGTGCCTGTGGATTGGTCTCCCATCCTTCTTCCTGTAGATGCACCTATATGTCCTTTAGGTACATTTCTCAATTTACAAAACACTCAGAAGTTAGCATTATGTCATCTGTGTAACAAAATTTTCCAGAGGACAAGGCTACACCCCAAACCACCAACCTATAGCAGAGAGGGGAATACAAAGATAATCTTAGTGGGGCTAGAGAAGAGATGGCTCAGAGGTTAAGAGCACTGACTGCTCTTCCAGAGGTCCTGAATTCAATTCCCAGCAGCCACATAATGGCTCACAACCATCTACAATTCAATCTGGTGCCCTCTTCTGGCAGAACACTGTATATGTAATAAATGAATAAATCTTTTAAAAAAAATCTTTAAAAAAAAAAAGATAATCTAGTAAGGCACCCTGAAAGTCTGTCGCCACCTGTTAGCAGAAGTGTCAGGTGACCCCAGAGGTTCACAACTGAGAAGATACCAGAATCAAACACGAGCTCCATCCGTTTGCATCAGTTGCTTCCTCCACAGATCAAGGTTGGGCACAAACCATGGATACGAGGCTCTCACTTATTAGCTCTCATCAACCCTCAGTCACTTTCTCTGAGCCATTGCATTTCCTATCCTGGAGCTCTTCATGGAACCTTTCTACATTTCTCTAACACTGGTAAACTCAGCGTGACTTCATCTGCTCAGACCTACTCATGGCCAGAGGTGAATGCGACCCTGCTTTCCCCTGCTGTGCCTACCACTCCCCGGGTCAGGGCAGCCCTCGGTAGGCGCTGTAGCTACATCCACCATACCTGGCTGTCGGGGAGTTCCTTGTTAGGCAAATGATCTCCACCCCTAGCCGAACCTTTTGCTATGGGGAAATATGCCCTCCCTAGTGTGATGGGATAATTACCCACCCCTGGGACAGGCTCCATCTTCTTCATCTGTATTGTTCCACACGGGTATCTTCTGTAAACTGCTCCTCAGGCTTTGAAGCCATCCAGAAGCCCCTTAACACCATTTGGATTCTGTCAGTTGTCCCCTAAGAACTCCAGCTCCACACAAGTCTTGTCACATTTGTCTTCCCGTGACCCAGACTGAGCTCTTCCTCTGCCCTGTCTTTTCCTTCTCTCCTCTAGGTTGCTCTCTCACTTCACAGACACACTGTACATGCTGCTCCAAGTCACTGAGGCCTGTGAAAGCCCTTCTCACTTTGTAAAGGTCTTGTCCCACCTAAGGGCTCAGCAAAGCCACAGCAGCCTCCAGGTCCCTGCTGGTCAGCCTTTTCATTAACTCCTCTGTGAACACACTTCTATCTGCCCCTGTGAACTGGGGTTCACACACAGCTTGTCTTATTTCTAGGGCCCTCGATAGCATCCGCCCCTCCTCTGCGGTCCTCCAGCCCCTGATCTTTATGGGAACTTAGATGGAGATAACCAAGTGATCCTGATGGCTCTGATAAGCCAGTCCACCAGGGAACTGATTTCCCTCACACTGTCTTAGGTTGTGCTGCCTTCAGGAGGAATGGGACGTTACATCAAGTTTTCCTGTCTCCACAGAAGTCACACTGATCTTATCCACTCCCATGACCCATAGCCTCACAAGCTCTGACAGGCTTGTGACAGGCTCTTTCATTGCTTGTTTAAACCTCTTCTCTCTAATTCCAGCAGTTCAAGCACCGAGTATTCACTGATCACCCTAGTTTCTTGCATTGGACTATATTCTGGGTCATAGAGTGTCTCGTTTTTTTCTCTTGAAGGTGGACTGGACCTGTGGGGTATCTTCCATTGCTTTTACTGTGAATCTTCCCATGGGTTCCAAGGTCTTGGATCCAAGAAGGGCTTTTGAGCACACATCTAACCTGTGCTTTATTTTCCTTCTCGCCCCAAACCTGAAGTGACAAGCCAACCCCTCCATCTCATCCTCTTGCTTAATTTCTTTGCCAAATGAGAGGCTAACACAGAGCACACTAGCCACGCCTTCCTCTCTGGTTGCAGTTACTCCTATGCACAAACCAGGGCCTGTTTGGCTTCCATCTTAGCCCCAGGCGCATGTCTAACTACACCAAAGAATGACCAGGTAACCTATGCTACTGTTTGATGACAACGTTGACCCTGCGTGCTAATCTTAAAGACTGCAAAATTTCCCCTAAACCAGTGGTTCTCAAGATTTGTAATGCTGCGACCCTTTAATACAGCTCATCATATTGTGGTGATTCCCAACTATAAAATTTTTTCGTTGCTACCTCATAACTAATTTTGTTACTGTTATGAATCATAATGCAAGTATCTGATGTACAGGATATGTGATATATGACCCCCAAAGGGGTTTCACCACACAAGTTGAGAACTGGTTGCAACTTTTAACTGTTCTCAGAGCATCTCCATATCTACCTGGTGGACCCCAATCATCAAGCAGGCATGCCACCCCATACTAGGATTTCCCCACAGACATTAATGATGGCTCAGCCTTAGTTTTATGTCTCATAGCAAGAACCATGTGACTTCTAGCACAACCATAGCACAAAAACACTAACATGCAGCATGAAGGGAAGGACAACTGTTGGAATTTCCTTTGCCGACTCTCCCCCACATAAGCTTCTCAGCCTCAGTTGCATGTCTTGCTCTCTGTCTTCATTAGGGTTTTTCTTACTGTGAAGAGACACCATAACAGCTTGTAGAAAGAAGGCATATAATTGGGGTGGCTGGCTTACAGTTTCACAGGTTCAGTCTATTATCATGGCAGGGCGCATGGTGGCGTGCAGGCAGACGTGGTGCTGGAGTAGCTGAGAGTTCCACATCTTGCAGGCCAAAGGAAGTCGACTGACAAACTGGGCAGTGTCCCGAGCATAGGAAACCTCAAAGCCCACACCCAACAAGGCCATACCCACTCCAACACAGCCTCTCCTAAATAGTGCCATTATGGGGGCCAATTGCATTCAAATGACCACATTCCACTTTCTGGCCTCCATAAGCTTATAACAATATCATAATGCAAAATGTATTTAGTCCAACATCAAAAGTTCCCATAGTCTGTCACATTCTCAAGTGTTAAAAGTCCAAAGTTCAAAATCTCTTTTGAAATCCATGCAATTTCTTAACTGTAACCACTTATAAAAACAAAAAGAATACATACTTTCAACTTACAGTAGTGTAGCACAAATAATAAAAACCCAGAGACAGATACTGGGGTTCAATCTGAAGCCAGTAGTTCTTACCTCTACCAAGACCGAAATGGGTGATCCTGTCTCCATGAATCCTGAGAGGCACATGCCTTCCCTGTCTGGAGGCTGAGTCTCACGTGAGACCCTTGGCTTCTTCCTTTTGTACCGCCCCAGTGCTGGGTTAAAGGCGTGAGCTCTGTTACTGTTTTAGACTGATTCACTCTTGTGTAGCCTTTGATGGCCTTGAACTCACAGAGATCCATCTGCCTCTGTCTCCTGAGATTAAAACTGTGTACCACCACCATGTGGCCTCTATGGCTGCTGGTTTTAAAGGTGTGTATCACCACTGCCTGACTCTATAGCTGTGGCTTTGTATTTTGATTTCAAGTGACTTTATTAGATCATAAAAAATATTTTACCACATAATGGCACAGGATATTCATACCATTCCAAACTGCAGGGAAGGGAGCATAGTGAGGAAATACTGGACCAAAGCAAGACTGAAAACTAGCTGGGCAGACTCCAAACCTTGGGTCTCCATGTCTAATGTCAAAGCTCTCCTCAGATCTCCAGCTCCTTCCAGCTTTGTTGACTGCATCTCCCTTCTCTCCTGTTAGCAGGTCTTCTTGGCAGGTATCCCTTGACTCTGGCATCTCTAACATCCAGAGTTCTCCAAGGCAATCCAGGCCTCAACTTCACAGCTTCACACAATGGCTTCTCTAGTAGGCCTCCATTCAAGGACACCCGACACATGCCTGGTCTCAGCAGTTTTTTTAGGCGCAGAGGCAAATTCCATAACCAGTTCCTTCTGTCCTTTACTCTAAAGCCGGAACCACGTGGCCAAAGCTGCCAAGTTGTGCTTCTTACTTGTTCAGTTACATCATCACCAGCTTTCTGTCCTCCACTGCCTAAGCTTGGCCGTCCTGAAAGTGGATCTCTAGACCACGCTGGCCCACATTCGGAGATCTTTCAATCGCACCTTCACCAGCTTTCTGTTTTCCATAGTTTTCTCTGCTGCAAGGTATGGTGGCACACACTTAATTGTCAGCACTCAGAAGGCAGAGGCTGGGAAATCAGAGTGGGAGGACAGACTGGCCTGCAGATAAGTTCAAGGACAGTCAAGGTTAGGCAGCGGAGAAAACTATGGAAAACAGAAAGCTGGTGAAGGTGCGATTGAAAGATCTCCGAATGTGGGCCAGGTTGGCAGGGTTAAGTAACCAAGTTAGAACTCTAAGGTCACTTTGGGTTATTTTGAGCGTTAAATGGGGGTAGCATAGTGCCTGATAACATAGTTGAGTGGTTAATGAATATTAACTGCTATTGTATTTTAATAGGAAAGTTTTAATTCCATTATTTGAAACATTAGCCCCATTTAAACTCTAAAGATCTCACTCATTTTAAGAGAAGGCAGGGTCTTACTGTGTAGCCTAGGCTGGTTTAGAATTCACTATGTAGAACATGCTGGCCTTGAACTCTGAGATCCACCTGCCTCTGCTTCCCAAGTGCTGGGATTTAAGGTGTATACTACTATCCCCAGTCTTCAAGAGAAAACTTTTAAGTAGAATATGTAAACCTGTAGTATAAATGGATTTCCCCACAAATGTTCATGAAGTATTTGTAGAATATTTGTACAGCAATAGACTGTAAAGCAAAGGATTAGTTAACTAAATAGTTGAATGAACTATTTTTCAGTGTTATTCACATTCTAAATGTACTAATGTTCAGGCAGTTAAAGGTTATATCAGTTTTAAACCTGCTAAATATGACTATTTTGATATTTCTAAAGAGAGGTATAATGACAGATAAAAGCATGACTGCAAAAATAAAATTTTGCCCAACCATAAGTAAATCTTTCCATTCTTTTAATTAGGAAATGTTAAGAGATTTAAACCTTGGTGAAATGAAAAGTGGAGTCCCTGTGTTGGCAGTGTCCTTAGCATTGGAGGGGAAGGCCAGCCATCGGGAGATGACGTCTAAGCTGCTTTCTGACCTCTGTGGGACGGTAATGAGCACAAATGATGTGGAGAAGTCATTTGATAAGCTGTTGAAGGATCTACCTGAATTAGCATTGGATACTCCTAGAGCACCACAGGTTTGCATCGTTTTTCTTTCTGCTCACTTTCTTTCCCTTCTACGTTTAGGACAGTAGAAATAATCCATAAGCCTAGCAAATTCCCATAGTGACCCTCGTTGCTTACCATCCAAAAAGTAGCTCTGTACTCCTTCGGGTCTTCCCCCAACTTTGTTTAATGTTTAGTCTATTAGACCAAGGGCTGCCCACTGCTAGGCAAGTGTTCTACCACTGAGCTGTAATCCACAGCCTTTCTGCTTTTCCAATGGTTTGGATGAAGCTAAGCTAGGCTTTATGTCTGACCTCTCCCACCCAGGTGTGCGTTGTTTTTAGATCACATATTTTCTGCTTACACATTTTTATTACATGTTCACTATTTTACCAGGAATTTTTAAAATGTGCATTGCTATAAGTCATAATTGACTTACAGAATTATATCCCTTTTGCAACTTTGAAAACAGACATTTGCTATTCATTAACATTTGCATCAGTTAAACTTACATAGGGTTTCTAAGTGAAATGGATATAGTTTCCTTCCCCTTTATGTATATACACTTAAAAACGACCACCTGAGTTTATATTAACTATAGAATTTTATAACTATTAATTATAGAAGAGAGGCCAGGACAAAAAAACCCCACATAAACCTGTTAACATTTCATAGTGTTTTTTATTTCTAATTTCTTGGTTATTTTTCAATATCCTTTTACCTTTATTTAATTAACAAATGGAATTATACCACAATATATTTTGTGGATTTGATTTTTCTTATACAATGTGTCAAGTATCTTTTCCCACGGCCTCACAGTGTACTTTATTGTGTGATCTGCTCAGCCGTTGCTGTGTGTGATCTGCTCAGCCATTGCTGTGTGTGATCTGCTCAGCCGTTGCTGTGTGTGATCTGCTCAGCCGTTGCTGTGTGTGCTCAGTCGTTGCTGTGTGTGATCTGCTCAGCCGTTGCTGTGTGTGATCTGCTCAGCCGTTGCTGTGTGTGATCTGCTCAGCCATTGCTGTGTGTGATCTGCTCAGCTGTTGCTGTGTGTGATCTGCTCAGCCGTTGCTGTGTGTGATCTGCTCAGCTGTTGCTGTGTGTGATCTGCTCAGCCGTTGCTGTGTGTGATCTGCTCAGCTGCTGCTGTGTGTGATCTGCTCAGCTGCTGCTGTGTGTGATCTGCTCAGCCGTTGCTGTGTGTGCTCTGCTTAGCCACACCAGTATTGTCAGACCCTGAAGTTATTTCCAGTTTCTGTAGTAAATAATGCTGTGGTCATACTTTCAAATGAACATTTCTGCATAACTTTTCTCTACAAACTATGTTTTATAGTTGGTTGAAAAAACATTCTGTGTTATTAAGAATGAATTTCTTTTCTTGATTAAAAGCCATTTATACAGATATTATTGAGTATATGCTAAGGTTGAGGCAGTGTGCAAAGTATGGAGGATTGAGTAGTGAACAAAACAGATGCAGCCTTCAGTCCCGAGGGCACTAGTGTGAGGTCAGTGTAAAGGAGTGTACATCATGCATAACAAACTGGACTTCTGCAGATCCCAGCATGCATTTTAGCTATTGGGTAGTTCAACTAGATTTTATCATTTATCCACTTTAAAATTGTGTCCTAACAAAGATTTCTTTTGGATTTTTTTACATAGTTCTCTCTTCTTTCTTCTTATAGTTGGTGGGCCAGTTCATTGCCAGAGCTGTTGGAGATGGGATTTTATGTAATACCTATATTGATAGTTACAAAGGGACTGTAGATTGTGTACAGGCTAGGTAAGTAAATTAATTTTTTCTTCTTAGAGTTTCAAAACAGGAAATTGTACAGCATCCTGTACAGTGACACTTGCATTAATCAGACGTAAACATGTAGCTGTCATTTATCTGTTCTTCATTGTTTTGTGGACATGAAGTAACAGGAAAAGAACAGTAATAAACAGCAGTTCTGAGCTCATTTATTCAGCTCCCTCAGTTTCCCTACTCATAAAATGAAAGTGTTGGGTGTGTAGTTAGTGTTCATGGTAACCTTCTGGTTCTGACACCTGAAGTTATTTAATGTTGAGAATTGTGTAGAAATCTTGTCTTGGAAAATGTGCTTTTACCTTTGTTGTTTGATTTAGTGAATTATAAGCCAAACTTGGTGTTTCACTTTTCTAAACTTCTGGAGACTAAGATTTAGACAGCCATGCCTTATGTTTTCCCAGATACAGATATAACTTTGTGGGGCTACTTCAGGTCATAGTGGAATGACTTCTCCAAGTGGGAAGTTGTGAATCTGTATAAAAGTTGTATGTGAAATGTTCCTTCCTGGTTATATATAAATTATTTTTGCAATGTATTTTGGCCTTTCTTGATGGAAAATGGATGTAAAAGAACATGAGGATGTTAAATATTTTGCTACCAAATTTTTATTTGAAAAGTTGTTTTCAAAAATTACATATTTTTGTTACATGAAAGTTGTCAATATATAGACACGTGTAAACTGTTGATAATGTAGTAAACCTCTGGCATATCTGTGCATCAAAGTGAAAATTTCCTTCTTCTTGTCTTTGGTAGAGCTGCTCTGGATAAAGCTACTGTGCTTCTGAGTATGTCTAAAGGTGGAAAGCGCAAAGATAGTGTGTGGGGATCTGGAGGCGGGCAGCAGTCTGTCAATCACCTTGTTAAAGAGGTACCTAATGAGCATTGCTTTCAACTTACCATGTGTTCTTTTGAAAGAGAAAACAATCAGACAACTATTTAGTGGCATTTTTGTGAGTAAGGATTCAATGTGGTCTTAATACCTGCAAGTAAAATGGGATATTCTGCTGGGCAATTGTGGCATATACCTTTAATCCCAGCCCTTGGGAAGCAGAGGCAAGTGATCTCTGTGAGTTTGAGGCCAGCCTGGTCTACAGAGCGAGTCCCAGGACAGACTCCAAAGCTACAGAGAAACCCTGTCTTGAAAAACCTACAGCACACTTTCTCTCTCTCTCTCTCTCTCTCTCTCTCTCTCTCTCTCTCTCTCTCTCTCTCTCTCTCTCTCTCTCTCTCTCTCTCTCCCCAAATTAGAAAATAATTACATAATTATTGCTATTTTCCCCTTTTTTGGTGACTTAGTGGCATGACTTTTAAGAGACTTTTCATGAATGTTAAGAATGTTGTCTGAATATCTAAGGAATGCCTGAAATCTTATTTTTGGTAGTATTTGGTCTTAATACTAAATGCTATTTTTTAAATTATTCAATAAATTATATATAAGCAATTTGGGTACCTTAAGATTATAGTTAGGAATTATGAACATTAGAGTTGATTGTAGTGGTAGTGCATTTGTTACATGAAAATTTACTGATTGAGTCACTTCATTAAAATGAAAGATTAGCTTCCTATGGATTTCTTCATGTTCTTTAAGAAGCGGGAAAAATGTAAATGTTTAACTACAGATCTAGAGATCGGCAGTTAGAAGGTTTGTAGTTTATGTTCTTGTTTAGTGTATTCTTAATTTTGATTTTTAATTATTTTTTGTGCATATGCATGTTCATATGTGTGTATGTATGTGTGTCTGTGTGTTTCAGTCTAGAGGTCAACCTCAGATCTCATTCCTTAGGAAATGTCACCTTGTGTTTTTGAGACAAGAGTCTTCACTGGGATCTTAACCTATGAGCTAGGCTGGCTGGACAGTGAGCCCCAGATATCTCCTTGTCCCTGTTTCTGACGTTGAGATTACAAGCATGCCATGCCTAGTGTTTCACATGGGTCACAGGGATCAAAGTAAGGTCATCAAGCTTGCATGACAAGCACTCAATTAACTGAGCTGCTGCTGCCTCGACCCTCAGTGTCTTGTATATCTCTAGTCTCAGCGGTAAGGAGCTCAAATAGGATAGGTGTAGTGTTACTGTTTTTGCTTTTACATAGGTTAGAATAGATAGGTCAGGTCATGGTTGCATTCATTATCCTTTAAAAACTGAAAGATTCATAAGAAAAGTTAAAGTATATAAAAGATTACTATGTCACGGATATTAGGCAAGGCAGTGTAATAAAGGCATCGTGACTAGAAAAGGAGATGTGAAACTAGCTCTGGCCTCAGAGACAGTCATACAGAGGTTGGAGAATCCAGGTGAGAAACTCCAGTAACCCAAACTTAACTAACAGCTTAGCAAATGTGCACAATAACAAGATTAATATATTACATTCAGTTCTTTATACGTTAGGATTGAATGAATAATCAGAAAGGAAAGTGTAGCTGTATTTATACAAGCATAAAATATAATATGATGAAAATTAACAAAGGAAATTCAAGTCTTATACACTAAAAACTGAAAACATTGAAAGATACATCATATTTATGGATTATAAGACTTATTAAGATGATATTTGAGAAATAGACAAAATTAGAATATGTTAAGACTTACCTTTCAATTAAAAGGAGATTGGAAATAAAACCAATCATATATGAATTTGAAATTGACATTATTTTGGGTATTCATTTAAATGGAAACAAGGGTTCAAGTAAAAATACTTCCACTAAAATAAGTATTTTTTAAAGATTTATGTTGATACATGTGTATGCCTGTTTCTCTGTATGTGTAACATGTGTGTGCATGCACATGTGTGTGTGTCTTCCAGAGAGAGCAATTAAGTTAGGAGCAGTTGTGAGCTACTGTGTGGGTGCTGGAGGGAACTGAACCCAGGCCCATCACAAGAGCTCATGTGCTATCTCCAGCCCTATGCTGCACTTCCCTAATGGCATAACAAGTAACCTAAACAACACATCCCTTGCAGTTTTTAGTAAAACCACTTGAAATGTCAGATATTCATATAAACACATGAAGTATACAATACATATGTTTATATTAAACACTGTGTAAGTGTAGTGTGTGTGCATGGTGTGATGTGGCGCCCATGCGTACGAGGTGGGCTTTTGCATTTGTGCACATATATGGGTGTAAGGTGTCTCCCTCAGCCAGAAGCTTGGTATTTTGTCTTGACTTACTGGCTAGTGAGCTTTTGTGATTCCCTTGTCTGCCCACCGGTGCTGGAATTACATTCATGCAAATCATGCCTGGTTTTATTATTACTGTTTTTATATGAGTGTGGGCCTTTGGACTTTCGTCTTCATGCTTATGGTTCAAGTGCTCTTACCCATTGATTTGATTTGCTGTCCTCAAATATATACTTTTTAAAAAAACAAAAAATGAATTTACTAATTAGAATGTAGCTTAGTGGTAAAATTTTACTTTTTATGAAGATGCTTTAGAAGTTGAAGTAGAGGATATTTAGTTAAAATAATTTTATTCTGCCAGTCAAAATTAGTGCCACTAGATACAAATGTGCTTTTCCTAGAAAATTTGTAATATTTTTAGTTGAAAAGCTTTTATGTTGAAAAAAAATGCCGGTTTTTTTCTAGAGCCAGAAATGATACCATACAGGTTTTAGTTGGGAATCAAGAATTGTTCCTCTGCTATGATTGAAGCTCAATTGCTAAAGGTTTTTATTTTTTATGTGTTTGGGTGTATTGCCTGCATGTAAGTTTGTACCACATGTACATAGTGCTCTCAGAGGCCAGAAGAGGGCAGTGGATCCTCATCAATGTGGTTGATCATCTTGTGGGTGCTGGGAATTGAACTTGGGTTCTCCAGAAGAGCAGGCATTGTCATTTTAACCACTAAGCCATCTCTCCATCCCCATTAAATGTTTTGAGATACTGAGTTTCAAATCCTCAATTGTATAGAAAAGGGGAACTGTAGAAGTCTTTGTCCATGTAGTAATGCTCTATTATTATCTCTTACTTTTTGAATCTCTTATATTCTGCACTAAGACCATCTTGATACTTTGTGGCGTTCTAAAAAGCTGCAAGACTTTAAACTAGCCTTTTTTAAAGACTTCTTTTAATTGAATGTAAGTGTGTGGGTATGTGCATTTGAGTTAGGTGCCCATGGAGAGGACAGAGTTGTGGGAACCTAGGAACTGGAGTTTCAGGGGGTTGTGAGCTCCTGTCATGGGTGGTTGGAAATAGCATCAGGTCCTCTGCAAGAGCAGTTCATGATCTTACCACTGAGCAGTCTCTCTAGCCCCCAAATCCTTTGTTCGTTTGTTTCTTTTTCAAGATAAGGTGTCTCTGTGTAACAGCCCTAGTAGTCCTGGAACTCACACTGTAGATCAGGCTGGCCTTAAACTCATAGAGGTCCACCTGTTTCTGCCTCTGGAGTGCATGCACATGGAGCATTATTGTTACAAGTTAGGTTATCTACACTGTAAAACCTGCTTTTGGATACCAGTCATTCCTTAGGAAACCAAGTGCTGTGTTTGCCTCATTAATGAACCATTCAAAGCCTGGGAGCTTATTTTTTAATTATCCTGTCCCTATATTCAATATTGGTGTGAATGTAAATAAATCATTTAGGTAAGTACACATCTTTTAAAATTTAGGAAGTCTAACATTTCAACTTTCAAATCTAATAGATTGATATGCTGCTTAAAGAATATTTACTCTCTGGAGACATATCTGAAGCCGAGCACTGCCTGAAGGAGCTGGAAGTACCTCATTTTCACCACGAGCTGGTGTATGAAGTAAGACTGCACTTTCATACCAGAGGGTTTTCAAGGTCCTTTACACCACAGTGACCATAACATCATTACCTGTCATTTTTAGGAGCAGTTTCTCAGGAACTGATGAACAAAAATTAATTTACTCTTTTTTTGTTCAATTTTTAGGCCATTGTAATGGTTTTAGAGTCAACTGGAGAAAGCACATTCAAGATGATCTTAGATTTATTAAAATCCTTGTGGAAGTCTTCTACCATTACCATAGACCAAATGAAAAGAGTATGTATGACATTATTTGAAGTATGTTTTTACAAGGCTTATACCTCAACTATATGATTGAGTAAAGGCTATGAATTGTTAGTGGAGTTTCTTTCACTGTGTGTGCAGTACTATACCTGAAGATTTTTGACTTTTTAAAATCTTTTGGCTGTGAAACTTGTAACTATTTTTGGAAAATATCACTTCAGTCTTTTTAAGTTTGTGAGATACAATATTTTTTTCTTGTATTTAGAAAAATACATTTACATTGCATTTCTTTTCCTACTTAAAATTGTCTTGTTTTTTAAATGGTGACATTATATTATATTTTTATACAAGGTAGTAAATGTGGATGGGGAAGTAGATAGTCAGAATTTGCTCATTGTCTTAGCGCTCTTTAGGGAATTTTTAAAGAAAGCAAATTATTTTATTTTCAAGTTTCAAAATTGTTTTGCCAGTTTGTGCTCTATCAGTTTGTGGTACAGTGGTGGTTGTTTCGTGACACCATACATTTTTTTACACAGCATAACAATTGTATATGTAATTTTGTTCTAGGGTTATGAGAGAATTTACAATGAAATCCCAGATATTAATCTGGATGTCCCACACTCATACTCTGTGCTTGAGAGATTTGTGGAGGAATGTTTTCAGGCTGGAATCATTTCCAAACAGGTCCGAGATCTTTGTCCATCAAGGTACTGTATTTAAATACTATTTTCTCATTGTAAAATTATGAACAGGAGACACTTGGGGAGCTAAGGTTTTTCTTTGTCTTTTTTCTTTTTTTGGTCATTCTGTCCCAAGTGTCTTTCTTGAAGTGACTGGAAATCAAGAACCATCTACTTAAGAGTTTACGGAGAAACAAGTATGAGACTTGTTTGTCTTCTTGCAACTATGGACAGGACTAGCATAGTGTAGATGTTTACTAGGCTGTTAGTAAATGTTAAGAGAAAATTGAAGTTTACCGTAACTACTGCAAACTTTGTGTTGGCAAAGTTTTAATTCAGACTTTCTTAGACTTCAAAGGTCTAAACTTTCCTGTACTCAGTGGTGGCTTCCTTTACTTCATGTGATGGAGGGCTGACTATTGTTAGAAACTACACGTTGGAGTGATTTTCTTTGGAAGGAATTTTGTTTGTACTACTAGGATATAACTTGAAAGTAGATAAGGGCTTTTCCCCTTAAAATTAATAAGTAAGTTAAATATTTAGTTGTTGCCAAACTTAACATTTTATATACATTTTTGTTTTTTTTAAGTCTGAAAACTATAAGCTCTGAATTTTTATTTTGTGAAGAGTCTCAGAAAAACAGCTTCTAAAGTTTAGAAGCTCAGAGAGAGGCCTATTGATCTTCACTGTTTATCCCACCCTGATCTTAGTGTAGTCCTCAGCGTTCAAGAAGAGAAAGCAGATTCCTCTGAGTACCTATGGTTGCTTTTTAAGATTTTTTTAAAGCTTGTACTTAAAAGTCTGGTTATTTTTATTGGGACTTTAACTCTAGGGTCATGGGAAGAGTTTGTACAGCTGTATAGCATAATACCAAACAACTGTGACTTTTTTCTCTTAAGCTTTTGCCTTTTTGGTGTTAAGTGCACATGCCTGTGTGATCTTACATGCTTGTGCATGTTAGTTGTGGGTGCAGAGTAGGTGCTGCTCCTGCAACAAGTCTGTTTACTCTTCCTGATGTGGGCTGCTGGGCAGTTGTTCCCTTGGGAGAGTGCTGCTACAGTAGCTAGAGGAAAGCACTAAGAGAAACGCTTCAAACTGAGTCAAGAATCCCCTACGGGGCACACAGGCAAAAGAACTCAGATGCTCATGTGACTGTCTACAGATTAGAACTTTTCTGAGGGCAAGGAAAATGTAGTTACTCAGCATATTTTAGCAGTATTATTTAACATTTGTTTATTCATTTGTTGATATGGATTTGTGTGCACATACCATGGTACACATGTGGGTGTCAAAGGTCAGCTTGTGAGAGTTGATTCTGTACTTTCACTGTATGGGTCCCAGGGGTGGTCAGGCTTTGTAACAAGAGCTTTACCTGATCTGAACCACCTTGTGGCCAAACTCTGTTTTGTTAAGTTCTATTAGTTCTGTCTTCATGATTCTCATTCATATTTAAAGTCCTTATCTTCAGCTCACTTGCTTTCAGATAAGGTAATAATAAACACTAAAGTCTAAATAAAATGCCTTTATTTTCTATTTTAACTTTTATTAGTAACTCTAAGTAGATAAAGAAAGTTCATTAATAATTAAGCATTTATGTAAGCTACTCCTTCTTGCTCTTATATGATGTTTTTTAAGGCTAAGGTGTCTAGTAGGTGAAAAATACCTTTTCACAGGACTTGAAGCATGCTGGTCTTACTCTGTAAGTCTTAAGTTTAAGTCAAGGTTTAACTTTTTCATTGAATCAGATTTTTACCTGCCTTTGTTTTTGTTCTTTTTGTTACAGGGGAAGAAAGCGTTTTGTAAGTGAAGGAGATGGAGGCCGTCTTAAACCAGAGAGCTACTGAATGCAAGAACTCTTACAGTCTTAGGTGTGATAACGGCAGATCTGAACTGTAAGAGTTATTAGTGCAGGGTTTTTTTTTTTGTTGTTGTTGTTGTTGGTTTTTTTGGGGGGGTACAAGGCATTTCTGAAATTTTATAAACTTAAATTTAATGGGGATTTTTGAAGGAAGTATTTTTTTTCTTTTTCTTTTTCTTTTTCTTTTTTTTTTCCTTTGAGGGGAAATTAAAGGAGGGACAGAAGAGTAACCACTTAAGTGTGGAATACTCTGATAAGTGGAAATACTCTGATAAGCTACTTTTTCTAAGTGCCATGTTTATGACCTAATCATTCCAAGTTTTGCATTGATGTCTGACTGCCACTCCTTTCTTTTAAGGACAGTGTTTTTTGTAGTAAAATCACTGGTTTATACAAAGCTTTAGTTAGGGGTGAAGTGAAGCTACTAAGCCCCATGTTGGCTGCTGCTGTGGAAATGCTGTGCTTTGGGAGTAAACACACATAAACACACACACACACACACACACACACACACACGCACACACACGCACACACACGCACACACACACAGAGACACTTTTGTCTTAAAGAATTTTTAAAAGACGAGTTAGTCATGAGACTTTTTCATCTTTCCAGGGAACATATTGATTGGTCTTAAATATTAGACAGTTAAGTAAATGGTGGCTGGAACATCTATTTTTCTACAAAACTGGAAAAATGAACCCGGTTCTACAAGAATGTACAACAAAATAAAACATGAAGCAGTGTTGATTCTTTAGTGGGTGTATGCTTATTTTGTCGGTTGAAAACGTCCTTTAGATTTTCCGTCAAAACCTCATTAGGCCTTTTGTCCAACCCAACAGTGCAAGACACACAAACATGTTTTGTTGTTTCTTGAGACAGAGCCTTGTTATGTAGCTCTGGCTGTCCTCATAACTTCAGGTAGTCCAGGCTGGCTTCAAACTCAGGTAGTCTTGTGTCTAGTCAGTGTCCTGAGTGCTGGGAATAAAGGCATAGACCGCCATGCCTGGCTTTCAAAACAAGTGCATTGGAGCTTAGTGAATTCAAATTGTTACAAAATTATTTTTAACCTTCAAATTTTAATTAAAAGAAATAAAACAGGACTAGAGAGATTGCTAAGCAGTAGTGACCATGTGCTGCTCTGCACAGGACCCAAGGTGGATTTAATTCTAAATACCCACAGAGGGCAGCATATAGCCTCCAGTAATTAGAGGTCTCTAGGGGATCAAATCTTGTGGCTTCTATGGACACCTGCACATGGGTGACACACACAGAAACATAAAACCTTAAATTAGTGTAATAGTTGAAAAAGAACCTTTTAAGGATATACTAGGGAAATACATGTACACTTTAATCTTTTTTTACGGAACTGGAGTTTAATGAAAATTTTCTAATATATAAACAGCTCTTATCCTTAAGTTCTGTTAACATGTTTACAAAAGGACTCTCCAAGTACTTAAAGCATTACATTTATCCAAATACCAATATGTAATTATCAATAAATTACTTTAAAGAGCGATCATATTTCTAGCCTCTTTTATAAAGGCTAATTACTTAGCAAGGTTTCAAGGTCCGTGGTAATTGAAGGTGTCTAGTGACTGCAGTAAACCATTGCATTTATAATTTTCGAAATAGTTTCTTGGTTACAGGGCTAGATAGAGACTTTTAGAAAGAAAATCCTCTAGTGTTCATATTTCATGGGCTTTTAAAAGTTGATATTGCTTAGGTTTATCATTGTGATGGCTATAATAAACATTTCTAGTTTTTGTATTTGGTACTCAAGTAACTGGTTATTCTTTATATCTTACAAAAAGCTTAGTTAACTCCAGAATAGCTGAAGGTTTCTTAAAAATCAAATTTGTTACTGGTCATTGGTGGCACACGTCTTTATTCCTAGCACTTGGGAGGCAAAGGTGGGTGGATCTCTGTGAGTTCGAGGCCAGCCTAGTCTACAAAGTGAGTTCCAGAACAGCCACAGTGGTTACATAGAGAAACCCTGTCTTGCAAAACAAACAAAAAAGGAAAAAAACATTTGCTTAAGAAATCAGTTTTGTTTATTACTGCTGTCATTACGGTCAGGCTACACATCCCATTAAACATGACATGTTATATAACTGGTTAAGTTTGTTTTGGGGTAATATATAAGCCCAACAATATATTCAAGAATAGAGTTTATTTTCAGGTTTAGGTGTCTATTAGACATGACCCATAAAAGATGTATTTAATTTCTTACCTTCATAGCAATAGGCAATTTATAATCTTAAAAGCTTTTTCAAAATTCAATAAAACTTGGTTCAAAGTTTTTCTTTTTAACACAAACCAATGTTTTTAGTTCCCAAACTTTGCATTTTAGAATTATGAATGTCTAATTAATTATGTATTTTCAGCCTGTAGATGGAGAATAGTTTCTAGCTCCTGAACAGGGAAGATGGGTGTTCCCTTAAAGTGGTACTTGTCAGTGGGCTATTTGCTGGTCTTCTTTCTCTGCCGTTTCTTGTTGGCGGATTGTATCCTGTGCTGCTTGCTGCATTTTCTCCAGTTTTTCCAACGTCAAAGACTTTAAGGGTAAAAGCTTGGGTTTACACAGCACCATTGTGGTTACATCTTCCACAGACAATTGTCCTATTGATAAGAAATAAGAAATTAATTTGAGGAAGACGTCTGATGGTTTTGATTTGAAACTAGAATGTAAATCTAAAATCTTACTGTCAATGAAAAAGTTTCTGCCCCTAGACTGACAAAGCAATAATCCCACAAGCAACATAAACACTGAAGGGTCAGGAAACAAAAGCTGGACAACACAGCTGTTTGGGCCAAATGTTTAATTGTAAGAATATATACACAACACAAAAAATTTAGCAAGGTTGAATGGTTAGCTTTTATTGCTAGAGTTTGATTTTAGGTTCCTTTCCCCATATTTGCAGTCTTCCTTTGAATTGCATTTCACTGAGAATTTCACATTGTATCCTGCACTGAGAACAACAGGATTTATTGTTACAAGAAACAGTACTTAATTTGGTATCCTTTTGTTGAAAAAAGTGAGAATTTCTTTACAACCTACTCAGGAAAACACAGTATAAGCGAGTGGATGGTAAGTGAGCCATGTAACTACAGTGTTGCAGATACTCAGCCCATCACCTGGTAAGTCTCAAGAAGCCTACAACCAGGAACTTGTAGAATATACCTTGTTTTGGCAGGACCTCCCGGAACATCGACTTCACTTCTGCCATCTATAACTGCTGGATAGTGCTTTTGATCCTTCAATGAGAAATCAATTACCAAGATTAAAATTCCCAAAGAATACTACTGGAGATTATAACTGAAACCACAAGTACTACAGAGAGTAAACTATCCTATCTCACTAGTTTTCTGTGGTTCTCCTCTGAAATAAGGGCGAAGCATTTTATATGTATCTAGGTCTTATCGATATTTATTCAATAGTAACAGGAATGTTAAACATTCTAATTTATTCTATCCTAGGAAAAAAAATGATAAAACTTCAGTTTTCTTTTTGGTTTTGCGTTTTTTGTTTGTTTCTATTTTGTTTTTTGAGACAGGCTTTCTCTGTGTGGCCCTGGCTGTCCAGGAACCCTCTTTGTAGACCACCTGGCCTCAAACTCAAGAGAGATCTGCCTGCCACAGCCTCTCAAGTGCTGGGATTAATGGTGTCTAGGATTAATGCCACCACTACCTGGCATGTTTTATTTTTTTCCTTTTCTTTTTAAGAGGAAATCATTCAGTTGAGAAAAGGCATATAGTAGGTCATCTTGGTTCACAGACAGCTTCTCTCCTGAGGAGACTCTGAAACCAACATAACTACCAAATGAAACGGGGTGAGCCAGAGATGAATTAATGGTAATAGGCAACCTTTCCTAACATCCTTTTTCTTCAGTTGCTAATAGCCAGTTTCTACTTTTCAATTCCCAGCTGCGCAGCTCTAGTCTGTGAGAAAGCTACATATTGGGTAAATGAGCTATAACATGGACTGGAGTGTGTTTTAGTACAGTCCTGGTGAGATAACACACGCCAAAGGGCCAGGGTACATCTTCCTGCTAATACTGCTACACTAAGCACATGCTGCCTGCAGCCAGAGAGGCTCGTTCCAAGTCTGCATCCCAGATCACAGCTGTACCGCCCGCTCTAAGGGTTCCGGATCAAGTTGTAGAATGCTGCCTTTCCAGACAGTGCCACCCATTTAGAGATGCTTCAGTACACTGATGCAACCTTACTGTGTGTCTTTCACAATGCTACGACCAAGACTTATTGTTTATAAAGTGGTGATGCTGGCTTGGTGCCTACTTTTCCACCCACTGCAAATGAATTATAACCAAGTGAGCTGTTTTTGTTCTTGTCGTCTTGCTCCACTACTTAGACTTCCTAATAAAAGCTTCTTACTCCGCTGTCCTTCAAGTGATTATCTTCTCACTCAATTACTCTGGAATGAGGTTCCTGAGAACCTCTCTCTGCTTTGTAGAACTCCTGTCTTCAAACCTTCTTCCTGTTCCCACTCTGGTCTATCAGTGAGAGGAGATGAGGTAAGGCACGGGCCAGGAAAGCAACTCAGCACCCAGTGGAGTGTGAGGTAAGTGTGCTGTGCACAGCTCCTAATACAGCATTCCTTGTTATTTAGGCCTGAGCCTAATAACCACAGCCTTTTTATTCTAGGAGGGTTGGAAGCTGATATCAGTGATAACCCTGATTAAACTACTATAGCTACTGAACCCCCAGCCTCTCCATTAAAAACATCACAGTGAAAATACTGTGACTGCCTCAGGTACAGATCTGACATGCCACTGAAAAGGAGGGGCATTACTGATTTTGAGAAAAGAAAAGAATAATAACTGTTTTCATACCACCAAAATGCTGTCCATCGTGGTTAAGTTTTAGCTGTTTACAGAAAGCAACTCTAGCTTAAATCACTACTATTTGTTTTCCTTTGGTTTTCCCCTTTTCCACACCCACAATATAGCCTGAGGAAAATGATGACACTTGTGTTCATTCTGTTTGAGCATTGTTAGTGGAAGGGGTGTGGGGCTAAAGACTGGCAGAGTGGTTGACACTTGTGAGGGGAAGGCCAGTGCTCTTAACTGCTTAGGTGGTTTCTGCTTGCTTTAGTAGGACTGATTCTTGTTCTAGGCCCCTTAGGCCTTGACAGGAGAGAAACAGGAAGGGAAGGGCTAAAATAAGCAAGGTGGAGATCTGATGGTTAGCCAGGGTCAGGATATGCAGTTTTGATAATTAACTGCCCTGGGAGTCTATTCGAATAGAAAGGAACTTTTTTTTTTCCTCATAGCAGTCTGCTATTAGCCAAACACAAGTATTTTGTAGGGTGTAGTGTTTTGTAAAGAGTGTGGCTACTTCTAAGCACATTATCAGTGCAGATGGGATGCATACAAAACCAGAGGCTGATGGATCAAAAGAGAAATAAACATCTACTACTGAAATTGCCACGACCATTCACTAATTGAAGCCCTACCATGTGCCAGACAATGTTATCAGTGAACTTTAAAATCTTTTGCCTTTTGGAGCCTACAGCTGGGGATAAGGAAAGAGAAACAATAGAAGGCAGCTAAGTGCAGATAAAAGTTTACGTTGAATGTTGGAAGAGGGTAACCCAGTTGTAATAGGAAAATCATGATGGTTATTAAGATGGCACGTAAGCAAAGACTATTTGTGTGTGTATGTTTATGTGCTATGCCTTGGAACTGTGGACAAGTCAAAAAGCCTGTTCACTTCCAAAGTGAAAGCAGACTTACGGGCACCTCCTTCCAACCTTTGGTATAGAGCTATTTGCCAAGTCTGCTAAACCCTGCATCCTACTGAGAGCTGTCATCCCTAATACAACTACAGTAGACGTAGGAGTAGGGATGCCCACTCAACACTGCACCAAAAATGACACTGACAGCAGTCCTGAGCCCCCTTGTTCAGCAATTGGCTAAGAGTCAAATTATGGGTTATGCACAGACTGGGATACCACCTTAGACTAAAAAATGATCTAGATTGTGACTGCATATTAAGACAAAAATAATCTTACCATATTGGAACCTAGATTTTAACACTGCCAAATGCAGTGTCATTATACCATTGTTTGAAGCCCTTGGTCAGGGTAACTGGAATAGTCTGCCACTTTCTTTCCTTTTTAAAGTTTGTAATCTCTCTCAGAGAACAGATCTGATGGGCAGTGTACTCAAAATTCCGAGAAGGTATGCAACTCACCACAGTACTGGATGCCTGCAATAAATTCAAAAGAACTCACAGGAAAAGAAAACCTTTGTCAAAAGATATTTTACTGTTTTTGGAGCGTTGAAAGACTTGTCTAAGAAAGATGGCTTTTAAAATCAATCATGTATTGGACAAGTTGGAAAGAGAAGATCACCAAAATGTCCTTTTAAACTTTAAGAATGCAAGCTGTCTTCAAATTCTTCCCTGTAGATTTTTAGAGACATTTTGGAGAAACTAGATTGACCACTACATGTTTCTAAATCAACATATATTTTCCATTTGTAATAGTTAAAAGGACATTATTTCTACATACTTAACATCAATGTAAACACAGTACTTTGGTAGCTAACATTTTTTAATAAAAATGAAAAGTTCTTAGAGACTTTATATTATTTTGTCCCTAGATTTCTTTATTTCTATCACAATTTTAGTGTAACATTCTCACACTTGGTATGTTACTGATCATACTAGCATATAAGTTGGTTACAAAATGTTAATAAATTTAAATTATAACTTTAAAATACATCAACAAAGTTACTGACCACATATCTGTTATTAGGGAGACTTTTGTTTTCTCAGTAAGTTCACATATGCTTGGCAGACTATTTGGATTGTTACAGTCTGACTTCTCATTTATACAGGCAGAAGAAGTACTGAGATGGGAATGGGAAAATTTTGTTCAAGTTTTGAACTTGTTATGTATTTAAAAGTTATAGTGATCTATCAATAATTAGTTTTTGTGAACAACAAATTAGTAAAGTTTTCCTCACTGCATGTTAGGTAAGCATTTTACCAACGAGCTGGATCCTTATTGCCTACATTTCCTTGAGTAGTTTTGGAAGCAGAGCACTAAGCAGTTCCTCTTGTGAAAGCTCAATCTTAACTAATAATCCCAAGTCCCCAGTCTTAAAATGAGTTTTATTTACTTATTGTCTCTGGCAGCCAAGAGATTTTGTTCCTTGGAGCATTTCATCCTAGTAAAATTCTACATTGGCTAGAAAATCCCCCTTCCATCATTTGGCGCCTATGAAAGGAGGGGTACAGGAAATGAGACTGAGCATGATTATTTATCTACAGGGTTATTTTCTCAGAATTCAGCATCAGAGACTTCACATGCAAGTTAATGGTCTACAAGTTCATGATGCTTAGCCTTGCTTGTCTCCATCTGCCCTGATTGCCTTTAGATGTCTTGAAGCATATGTGTACCCTGGCATAAATACTCCTGATCTGTAAAGTAAATCACACTGTATTAGAGACACTAGTACATTTTCTGAGATTTTATAGTTAACTAAAATTTGAGATGTTCTATGAAGAAAAATTTTTCTTTTTAACATGAAGACTTCTTGAAACTTAAAGCATGCAATGAATCTACAGGAGAATTGAAAATGTATTATTTGCCAACTTAATTGTTCCCAGATACCAGTAAAAATACGAGCATATACAGCAGTTAAGAGAAGCATCTTGCTGGGGAGGTGGTGATGCATGCTTTTAATCCCAGCAGAGGCAGGTGGATCTCCGTGAGTTCAAGGCCAGCTTGGTCTACAGAGTGAGTTCCAGGACAGCCAGGGTTACACAGAGCCCTGTTTTGAAAATTATGTATGCAGGTACCTTAGCTTCATAATATCAGTGTTTAGTGGAAAGTCATATGTATTAACTAAGATGTTTGAACAGAGTGTGTGTGTGTAAATATTTCTTTACCTCAAAAGGCAATTTTAGAATTAGTTTGGGTGCAGCCAAAAACCAGGTAGGAAAACTTGAATTACCCTACCTCCCATTCATCCCACAATATGTAAGGGCAAACTGTAAAATACTACGAAAAAGTAATCATGTCTAAGATTATGTAGTTGTTCAATAAGGGACTTGGACTCTCATCTGCCATAATTCATTACCTGGCCCTCTTTTCAGTTTTCTCTATGCTACACCTGGGCAAATAGCTTGGAGGCCCATCGAAAGGACACAAACATTTAACATACGAGACAAGAGACTACAATGAGCAGAAACGAGTTAAGACTGAAGTAATACACTCTTTACAATCTGCTGGAATGGGCATGGGTAGCTTTGAAGCCATTAATTACAATTAGAAAGTCAGGTAAAAATGAGTCAGGAAGTCTCAGGAATGTGTACATGTTTACAAATGGAAAGTCAAATAGTATACTTTTTTCTCTCTTTAGCAACTGTCACAGACAATATATGTAGCACGTGAGTGATCTTTCTTAATTTGTAGATGGGGGGGTATTTTAGTTGTCTCTTTTGATACCACCCTGAAAACAGCATTAGGAAGGCAAACTTTTTGACTATGGGTTTTATTTACAGAGTTTTTTTCCAGTGCTGGCGATCAACTCAGGGTCTTGCATATGATAAGCAAGTGCTCTATCATGGAGCCTCAGCCCTAAGTATTATGTTTTAAAAGAATGTGCGACCAGAGCTGTTATATTCTGAGCAGATATGCAATATGTTAAATAGCTAAACAGGTCTATAGGCTCTAGGTCATATCTTTGTCTAGTTATCTGGAAAATGCAAGTTGTGGTCACAAAAGTGGTAAATAAAATGGGGAATGGATTATTAAGATCTAACTCCAGTTCCATGAATATGAATTAGAAAATCAAAATCAAGAGCCGGGGCAGGCTATGGATCCATTTTTAGATTGTTCTAGCTCACAGGAATAGCCGGTTTTGTGCCAGGAGCCATCCCCACAGACAAATGTCTTTTCCCTAATCGGTGCTCACCACTCCTGACTGTCACTTGGTCTTCACCATCACACTTTCCCTATAGTAAATGAACTCATCAGCTTATGCTAATTATATAAAACCCATCTCTAAAGTAAGAAATGAGTAATTTAGGAAGTCCACGTGTTTTAAACAGGTGATGAGAACAAAAGCTTGCATAAAAAAATCTAAATTTTTTTTCTACTAGTAATCTATTTACATTTATACTTTAAGAGGGGAACAGAGTTGTACTCTATGGTGATTAGCTAGCTGGTTTTGCTCTGTTTCAGGCATATAATTTAAAAAGATACTGAAGTTATACTGATAGATAACTTAGCTGTCTGACCCTGAATACATTTCTTAACCATTATGCAGCTTGGTTTCCTCATATAAAGCATTTATCAATATCTATCCAAAGTGAAAGCTCCAAGTAAAGAGAAGATATGAAAATGCCTAGAAATTCAGTATAGTTTATTCTGTTCGGTCAAGTTTTCATGTCATGTTGAACTTGCTCTACACTGCCATTAAGGAATGTTTAAGTTCAAAGACCTTTGAATCTATATAGACACTGTATTACCTATAAATAAGATGGCATGATCTACTTAAAGTGTTTTTCTTTAAACACTTTTTTATTTATTTAAATTTAAAGCAGCTTGCATTGCCAAATTGTATCTGTAAATGTTTTTGAATGTGTGATTAAACAGATATATTTCATATTATATGTAACTCAAAGGTTGAATCATGGTGAGGTTTTAAGTGAGCAGTGCAGAGTAGAAACCTACACAAGACTGTAACCAAGGGAACAGATCTGTGGTATGTTAAAAATCCATCTTGAATCTTTGACAGAGATGACAAGCGACTTGATTCTTACCAAGAGAAGCAATAGTGGTGCTTTTTAAAGCATTTTGAGACTCTTTAAACAAAGTCCTAATGTTTTTATGTAAGAAATATGGACACCACAAAGCTGGAGCCCTATAGTCCTGATCTCATTTTTTATCTGATCTGCTTGATATTTAAAAAGTATCTGAGCCAGTTTGAAACCCTGTAGATTTGACTTAAATCCAAATTCTAGCTGTATTTGGCAGTATCTGCTAAACGTGCTCTCAGATTCTCAGTGCTTCCTATCCCCATTGCTTCTCCCCTTATCAGTCCCATTGTTAAGCACACCTGACATTCTGGCACTGCCTTGCAGTAAAATGCAGAACCACTGCACTGTATTACATACCAAGTCGTGCAGTGGTTGATGCTTGGTTGGCTTTTTCAGGTGCAAACTTGTCTTTAATGTCTGTGCTGTCTCTCCAACCTCCTCTCCCCTCCTGAGACAGGATCTGAATGCAGTTGCTTAGGATGCCTGGGCTCAAGTGATCCCCTGCTTCATCCTCCAGTGTAGGTGGTAGCACTAGTGACAACACTGGAACTGGCTTACTAGGCACTAAGATTCAAATCCTAGACATTGAAGCACCAGAAGCAAGACTATATAAAGGATATTCATTGTTAAAGCTTTTACAGTAAACTCTTTTGTGATATTCATTAAGTTAGCTCTTTTAAAGTAAACTCAATTGGACTGGTTCAGGTTTAAGTGGGCATGGCATAGGATTGTAGTAACAATAACAAAAATTATCCTCTTTCATTCAAAGGTTGAGATTGAATGATAGAGGAAATTTCAAAAGCATAGATTTTGGAAGGATGGGGGCGGGGCAGTACAGGGGATTAAGTTTAGGGTCCTTTGTATACTAGCCATGCATTCACCACTGAGCTACACCTCCAGTTCCATATGGATTGTCTAGTGTAAGGAAAAGGAGACTGGTTCCCAGCAGATATAACGTAGGATCCTACACCTAGTTTTCCTCAAGCATTGCCCATATGCCAATGGAATATGGACTGATACCATTCATGTGCAGAAGCCAACTGACATCAGACATCAGACAGCTGGAGACATAGTAGATTCTACTCTGCTTTGCTAGCTGGCGTCTGCTAGTATACATGTGTTGCAACATGCTCAATTTGGCTAATTAACTCAGACTCACGTTACTAAAATGTGTGATGTTTAGTTTCTGAAATGTACTGAAGCCTCAGAACAGGAACTGATCATGGGATATGGATGATGTCATAGATACTGGGAGACTCCAATAGCATATACTACTTTTAAGTTCATATTCACGTCCTGTAAAATACTGTTCTCTATTAACCATTAGCTTTGTGAAAAAGTTAACATCTGAGATAACTGGTTAGCTATTTCCGTAGTATGTAAGGAAAGAGAATTATTTGATAGTTTACATTGTTTTGTAAAGCTCATTTCTCAAATCTCACATTTTGTGCTTAAAAATCTTCTTTTATATTAAAAATGTACACTTTTTTCTAAAGTCCTCCAGAATCAATGAATTGGAATCTTTTATGTTTTTGACATTAAACTTGGGGAACTGTCTCTCTCATTGACCTTTAAATATTTGATGTCCAATATGTAACTAAATTATACTGCTTTAGAAATTAATAATAATGACCATATTCTGAGCACATTCCATGTGCTATGAGGCAAGCTAAAGTAATATTTAGTTTAACGTAATATTTTAATCTAATTTAGTTTTAAATGGCCCATAGATACTTAGCAAGTGAATGGTCATATTTCTGAAACCCAGCTCTGATTCTAAAACCTGTTCTTAACTAGTATATTATTTAGCTTTCTTGAATCTTGTACTAAGTTAAAATTGTTTCACAATCATATATGAGGGCACTTCCTCCTATATAAAGAAAGCAACTATTGAAACATGCTATTTTAACTGTCAGTATTATAGTTAAAAGCACTCTTCACTAACCTAAGAGACTTCTTTTTACTTTCAAGGTGAAAAATTAAGTGTAGGGTAATAGGGATACATGAGCTTTGCATTCCTAAGTTTTCCTCTTGTGATTATAAACTAAATTCCACAGTTCTCTGTCTACCAGGCAGAGAATGTTCTTAATGAACCAAGTGTTAAGTATAATCTTGATTTTGCAATTTTTAATAAGCAATGCTTACTACTAGAAAGCTATCATAGAAACAACAGGACCAATTAGATCTTGCAGAAGAATTTCAGGGAGAAAATAACATCACCTAAATTGGATTGTGGCCAGATGGACAACAGTTGCTGTGGTATCTGCTGTGATAACATCAAGATTCATGCATTTGAATTACAGAGCTACACATCTTTCAGCAGCCGTCTGCAGGGTGCCAGGACTTGAAAGTCAAGAAACTATGCTGACATCAGTATACTTTACTGTATATGTCATTGCCAAGTAGCAACATTTATTAAAGTGAGACATTCTATATTGCCCAGCTCAGGATACTAGTAAATACTCTATATAGACAGGAAAATAAAATGCCAAACCCTTGGTGTGTTAAATGGGATGAACTTCGTTAGTAACACATGGCAAGGGTACATGTAGTTGCATTTGAGAAGACAACTGGAAAAATAAGTACAAATATATATATATATGTATGTATGTATAGTCTCTCTTTTTTATTTATTTTTATGTGCATTGGTGTTGGGTCCTGGAACTGGAATTACAGACAGTTTGGAGTTGCCATGTGGGTGCTGGGAATTGAACCCAGGTTCTCTGAAAGAGCAGCCAATGTTGTTAACTACTGAGCTGTCTCTCCAGCCCCAAGAAAGAATCTTAAATAAACCTCTGGTCTGACTTTTAATTCACATGAAGTAAGGAAAGGAATCCTTTTTCAACAATACCTCTGGGTTGACCTCTTCAAAATGTCAGTGTCACAGAGGGGAAGAATTTGGGGACAGTTCTAAAGTTAAGAAGTGGTAATGCTCATGTATAATTCAACACTTTTGGATAGGATTTTGAGTTGTACATCCTCTTCTATAAGTTACAAAATTGCTGTTTTTCTTGGTTGTAATGATACTGTATTTCCCAGTTTCTCTACTTCAAAATTCTTGGGAAATCTTAGGGGTGGGGCCTATCAGCAGACCTAGAGCCTATTTTTAAGTAGTATAAGGTGTGAATGCCAGGAGGACAGATGGGAACATAGTAAAGTGCTGACACTTTCTGCGCAGGTCAATGGCGTATGACTGCACAGCCCTGGGCTCTTCTCCTTCCCCCTCCATCCTTTTTGAGATAGGATTCCACTGTGTATCCTGGTGGCTTTGAACTTGAAATTCTCTGCTTCAGCCTCCTGAGGGCATCACACCGAACTCTTTTAGCTTTGTAATGTCTGCACATTTTCACAATAAAACATATGGGAGGTGCTTATGTTGGGAGGGGTTCAGAAGACCTCAGAAAACACTGAATACCAAGGGCTGTGCTCTTTCTGGTGCAGTGGAGACGAGTAAAACTCCTGGGAGTGTCTCAGACTTCCAGGACGCAGCTAATGATGCAACATTTTGTCACAGTGCAGAGCAGGTGAACCCCACACGCACCATTTTGTTCAGGCATAAGCATAGTCAAGAAGTTAAAAATATGTGAGCAGCTGATACATTAGTGACAATTATAAGATATGCTAGAAGCGCTATGTAAGCCTGGAGAAAACCACTTCCTGTTGGAGAGAATTTGGAAACACATCTCCAAGGACTACAGAATCATGACACAAAATTACAAAAGGTGACATCAGACTAAATAACCTCACAACAGGCAAGGCCGCTTCATTTTTGCCTGGGACATAGGTAGAGAAGGTTAGGTAAACGCAATTCTTAATTTACCTGAAAATTGTTTTTTTTTTCAGTTTTAGGTATTCAATCTGTAAATACTAGAACAATTGACTTCTTGAGTCAAAAAGCCCACAGAAGCAACTGCATGTTAAGTGTTCTTTGAAAGGATATTCACAAGCATTAAGCTGTTCGATAAATCGTAGACACCCACGACTACTCCAGTACACCCTTACAAAGAGTCCAGAAAGGGGAGGCGGGGCAAAAAGGTTAGAAAAATCAGAAGGTGAAAAAAAACAAACAAAAACTGGCGGTGGGAAGACCCTGCTTTGCTGGCTGACTAGGGATTCTTTGACAGTTGGGGTGAAAATCACTCCTTTTTGTCCCTGGAGTCCACAGTCTCTAAAGGTCAGGGGCACTGAGCTCCCTAGGACCTCGAGGGGGCGTGGTCGGGAGCTCCGCCGAGCGCAGGCGGGGGCTCGGGCTCCTGGGTCGGCTTCGGGGCCAGCCCAGGCGGCGGCTCGGGCAGCCTCGCCCTACGGGGAACCTCAGAGGGGCGGAGGGAGGGCTGGCCACCGCCCCGGCAGCCGGAAAGAAACCCTCCGCCAGCGGAAGCGGCCCTGGGCCCTGCGGGTCTTCTCCGAGCGCTCCCTGGGCGGCTCACCCGGCCTGGCCGGCCCGCCGCTGGGCGCCGCGCCGCGCTCACCCCACCCGCCAGCGCTGGCAGAGGGGGCGCCCCTGGGGCGCGGCGGGGCGACTACTCCCCACCGCCTGGCCGTGACCCTACTAGGAAGTGCCTGGCGCGACTTCCGGCGCGAGGGAGTTTTGAAGCTCTGAGCTCTTTCTTCTGGGTAAGTGATCGGGCGTCCCGGAGAAGGTCCCGGAGGCCACCCTGCGGTCCCCGCGTCCAATCTGACTCGCCCAGCCTGGACGGTTAGCTCGCCTCTTCCGTGGGCGCACTTACCGGTTCCTTCTTCCTTCCTTCCTTCCCTGACGATTCCGCTGTTGCCCGGGGTAACGGGGACCGGATGGAGGAAACGCGGCGACGTCGAACGGGAGACAGGAAACGCCTCCTGCCATTATCAATGATGGCTGCCGGGACTTCGACCGTAACTTCCGCCTGGGAGTCGCTTCTCTGCCCGGCCGGAGGCTTTCTCTTTGGCTGAGCGAGGCAGCGGCGCCCAGTGGGCGGGAGACCGCGCACAGCCGCGGAGGGGAGGAAAAGGGCGGGGAGAGGGAAGCTGGCACCAACGTCCCCCTCCGATTGGACGGCTGCGTAGGCTCCGGCTCCGCCCCTCCGCCCTCCCCAGCAAATACCGGGCTTGCTCGGGAGGGCCGGGGCGGGGCGATCGGAGCCGGAGTGTGTGGAGGGGCGGGGCGAGTGGGGGAGGGGCGGGGGGGCGGTGGCAGGGGAGCGTCGCTGTGGGAGCGGAGGCCGAGGAGGAGGAGGAGGAGGAGGAGGAAGGAGGTGAGCTGGGATGGTGGAGTCCGGGCTCCAGACGGCGACCTGGGGCGGGAGAGGCGGAGGGCGCCTTCGGGTCAGCGCCGCCGCCTTCCTGCTCGCCGGGCGGTCCGGCTGGCTGTCGGTAGGGGGGAGGCCCCGCGCGCCCTGACAGGCGCGAGTCTCCGGGGCCGGGCGAGGCCTGACGGTCCGGGCCCTGGGAGGCGCCGCGGCCGCTTTCCGGGGCTCCACGGCCCGGGTCCTCGGGTCCACGGAGCCGCTGCCCGCACGGGGCCAGCGGGCGGGGCGCCGAGAGCCGCCGGCCGCCCCTGACAGCGCCGGGCCGGGCCTACTGGCGGAGAGGGCGGCTGGGACAGCGCCGGAGCTCGGGCGCGGGCCCGGGGCGGACGGTCAGTCGCGTTCGGGCTGCTCGGCACGGGGCGCCGCCCGGCCTGGGCTGCGGGCTGCCCCGGGGGTCTGGGGACGGTCGGCGCCGGGCGGGCGGGCGGGCGGGCGCGGCTGCGGGGCCGTGCGGCCGTGGGGTGGGGTCTCTGCGCCTCCACCCACAGCCCCGGGCGCTGGGCGGTCCCGCTTCCCACAGACCCTGCGTGGAGAGCGGCGAATTGGCTTCTGGTGTGTTGCCCGCTGGAAGGAGTTGTGGCGGCCGAGACCGCCCTGCTAAACATGCCCGATGGCAGTCTCCGCGCTGGCTCCGAGGGCTGGAGGAAAAGTAGTGGAACTCCCCGCCCCCAGCTCGCAACGCCCGAGGCTGCAGGGCAAAACGATTTTCCCCCAGCCCCTCGGTATCCATTGTTTTGTGCCATCCCCTCCCCCCCCAGTGCCTAGGTAGAAGAATAAGTACTCCAAAGCCCTAATTTGCCCGCCTCTCCCCCTTTCCCACACCCCTCCCCGCTCTGTCTTTCCCCCATTCCCTTTCAGAGGGTCTGCGTTCGCTGTGCCAGTAGAGGTTTACAAACAGGTGGAATGCTTGTCTATTCGGGAATTGCCGGGGAGACGCTTTGGGGTCTTTCCATCCCATCTCACCTTTACGCTTGCACGTTTGGTTTCCTTTCTGTTGGCTTGTATAAAAGAGGAAACCCTGGTTTTGTGGCGTACACCATCATATTTTTGAGGACTCTAGGGATGTTAAAGTGAAAATTAGGTTGTGTGGTACAGTGGTCTCCAGCATTATGATTAAGCTCTAAGCTTACACACCTGTGTAATCTTGTACACCCTTCATAGATGTCAGAAGTTCCAGCATCTTCTCAGAGGGATTGCCGAATCAAAAAGCTTGGGTTGCTGAGTTTCAGAATCCTAGGGTATTCTTGTGCAACCAAGTGTTTTAGTCATCAGCACTGACAGACTTTTAATTTTAAAGACCTGGCTTTGTTAGTGCACTCTTAGTCTTTATTGTCACCCTCCTTGGCATGGCCTTTATAACTGTTCTTTACTGTGTATTTTAAGAGATTTAGAGATTTAGCTACTCACAATTTGTAATATTCAGTAAGTCTACAAATATAAAAAATGTTTTTCATATGACTGTTACAGATTTTAGATAAATACTAAATATTTAATCATTTTTCACATGGAGCTTTGAGTGCTTAAAAAGTATTTAAATACAAAGCCTTTTAAATGTATTAAGACAAAGTACTTCTATGTTAGTTTGAATATGCAATTGCAAAGACAAAAATAAGTTTTTTTCCCCAAGGTTTATACCTTTCAAAGGATTAACTGTAACATAAAGCTCTCATAACATCACACTCCTGAATCTCAGTTTGGGGTTGTGGTCTTGGCCTCACTTTCAGAGTGTACTTTCCCAAGATGCTTATTCAGTTTCTGAAGAAACTTTGTCAAGTTGGCATTTGTTTTATGATATGTCATTGTTTAATCTCTCATTATTCAGAAATTAGTATGGGTTGAAAAGTGGTATAAAAAGATACATTAATAGTTTGAACCTGGATTACTTTTTTTTTAAGATGTCATAATCAGAAAGTAGATCAGAGCTGTTTTTGGTGATTGTAGCAAGTGCCAATCCTAAATCATCATGTGAACAACATTTGAAGCACTTTATGTTTGAATAGGAACACAAAATTATATTTTTGATATGCTTGCAGCAATTCTTTTAAAAATATTATCACATTGGGCCAAGGATGTAGTTCAGTGGTAGAGTGTTTGCCTGTGTTTGATTTTCTTAGCTCTTAAATAAATAAATTAAAAAAATAATAACTGCTCCTTATGTGACTTGGGACAGGATATAAAGGCTCTTCCTCTCCCAGATATAAGCTAGAAAAGTTCTAGATGAAATGATTTCATGGTAGCTTCTGAAGAGTTGCTGTGATATAAATATACTTATTTTTATGTATATGAGTTTTGCTTGACTATGTCTGTAGTATATACATACTTGGCAGAGACCAGAAGACTCAGATCCCCTAAAACTGGAGTTCCAGAAGATTTTGAGTGGCCATGTGAGTGCTGGGAATGAAACCTGGATCCTCTGGAAGAGCATCTAGTGCTCTTAACTGCTGAGATGTCGCTCCAGCCCCAAGTGTACATTTTTTCCCCGATTACCCATATCAATTGTGAATAAAATTGGGATGTTTTGTGCAAGTAGCCAAACTTCAGTCATACTTGTTTTTAAAATATGCTGACTTATCAGTATTTCTTGTATATTATTTCTGAAAGGCTAGTGTTTTTAAAAAGGTAACCCACATATAAAAACTCTCAGCATTTTAGAACAGAACAAAAGCTAGACCTTGCATGTGTTAGATGGAAGGGCATTAGTATTTGGAGGGTGAAGATTAAATGAAAAAGTGTCTCTGAGGTTCAGTTGCTCTGCTCTTCATGTGTCTTCATATATGAAGGGATACAAAAATCTTTATTTTAACCAAGATGGAATTCAAACCAAAAAAGCAACCTAACAAGTAAGTTGCTTCAGTGAGTTTTGAGGTTTATAGCTTAGACTTGGTGTAAGACTTCTTGTTTACAAAAGGGAGGGAGTTTAGATATTAGTGTTAGATGATGAGTGAACGGGTAAATATGTTTGTTGTAAATGAATTGACATTGGCTTTGTAATTTAGCAGTAGAATAATATGTAAGGTGATACTTGAAATGAGTCATGTAAATAATTAGGTTGGTAGATAATTGATTTCTTGTTAGACTTACCATACTTCATGCATTATATATTTTGTATTACACATTTTGTAATTTATGGCTAGTGAACTAAAGCATGAACATAAGTATGCTAATCTTACATTTTTAACTGCTTAGTCTTCAAATGCATGCTACACCAAATCAAAGCTGTGCCCCATAGATCTTTTTAAAAGCATTTTCTCTTAATGAAGTAAACTTCCAGTATTATTTACTTGTCTAATCTTGCTTTTTAAAATGTGAAGTTTCATAAGTTACAAGGTACTTGTAGTGTGCTTCAACTTGGCATGCTGCAGAGTATCTGAAATGTGCTTGTTAATCAGTGCAGAATGAAGAAAACATTTGTTAAATCTGAAAAAAATGTGTTTTAAAGTAGGCATCTATTTTAAGTTAAAATAGTTTTTATTTGATGCATTCTCCTTGTCCTCAGTATTTTAGCAAAGTTGGAACACATAAAAAGAGTGTCACAAGCATTCTTAAGCTTCTGCATGGGAGCATGTGTTTCTTAAGCAAGTATGTAGTTCTCATTGTCAGGGTTGAAAGAAAACCAATTAGATTTCATGCCCTCTCATTACACCTTAGGACGGTCAGAAATGGTAACAAAAGACATTGCATTCTGTACAAGAAGGGATTCTTTATAGGGAAGAATGAGCATACTGCTTGTATCTAAGCCATTAAGGGAGATTTTAAAAATGTGAAATCAGCTCATTAAATATACCTGAGAATTTTTTTGACTGGTCTCTGTGATATCTTTATAGCCTATGAATTTTTACTGCTTCAGTATGTTATTTATTCTCCATTGCTATTTAAAGAGCTCCCATTTTAGTTACATGATTTTATACCTGATAAACCTTTTATTTGGATCTGGGGAGATGTATCAGTAGGTAAAATACTTGCTGTGCAAGTGTGAGGAAGTGAGTTCGGGTCCCCAGCGCTAACTGGGGGAGGCTGAGAATGGTGGGTCCTGCGTGCTTGCTCCAAGATAGTCTACCTGAAGTAGTGAGCTCTAGGCGTGCTGAGAGAACCTCTCTTAAAAAAAAGTTTGAGAATGAAAGAGGAAAGAGGAAGACACACACAAACACACCAGCACACACATGCCAAAGGATCCTTCCTCTCCCCACTCACATCTTTTTGTGACACAGTCTTATTTACATGGCCCAAGCTAGCCTCTAGACTGGTTTCTGCAGCTCAACCCTCGTGCTTCAGTGTCCTGAGTGCTGGCACTGTAGGGAGTGCCACCATGCTATGTCCTTTTGAATTTTTTTCTAATGTTCTAGAGGTAATGAGTGAATGACTTGTTCTGACACAATTAAGTTTCAGAGTTTGAAATGAATTTTATCAGTTAATGTTCAGGGTTTCTAGTTTTGTGGTTCTTGTATTGTCCACTTTGCTTTCAAGCCATTCTTAGTCGCACAGTCTTTTAACTTCTCTATTCTGCTAGGCAGTTCTTAATGGTTACAGTTTGCATACGGCATGCTTGTCTTAGGTGCTATAATGCAGAGGC